CATTTATTATATTTAAATTACTTTAATTGCACTTAAAGAAATATATAAAGTTTTCTATGTCAATAAACGGATAAGTATTAAATGTAATGTTTTTGGAAACTGCATTTAAGGGAAAACCCAAACGTATTGTTTATTATAATTGCTTATAAGACACACACACATGTAAACTCAGTAAATATCAGTTGTAGATGGCTTCTGGTGCTGTCATATATCAGTCAGGGTAATCCTATTCTGTATAGTTTTGAACAATTTGGATCATTTGATCTACTAAATCTCTTTGAGTACCATTTTCATTATGATGGAACACTTTTGCTGTAAAACCATCTCATGGAAGAAAAGCATTTTTCTTCTATCTGTATGTGAAACATACTACTTCTGTTTGCTTTTTAAAGAAATACCTTATGCCAGGCACCAGTGGCTCACCTCTATAGTCCTAGCTACTTGGGAGGCTGAGACTGGGAGGTCCTAGGCCAGCTCTGAGGAAATAGTTTGCGAGACCCCATCTCCACAATTACTGGAGGCGGACTCAAATGCCTGCTTTGCAAGTGGGTTTGAACTCAGGATCTTATGCTTGCCAGGCAGATCTCTCCCACTTGAACAATGTGTTTTTAGAAATCCATACTCTGCTTGACTTTTATGCATTGATCAGTGCCTGTGTTTTTTCAGTCAGAGGTTTTTGAAGTTATCATTTTGTTTTTTAAGGAAGTAAAACAATGTACTAGTCTCTTGTATAAATGAATTTTGTGATCCTAATTTGACAGGCAAACTAGTTCTTTGATTTATTTACCTAATAGGTTTTATTTGGCTCTTAGTAACTATTAATTATCAAAACTGTTCAAACTTGATTCCTAAAGTTTTACTTATACAAAGTGCTACATTTAATCAGCATTTGAATTTTGTGTGCTAGAATCACAAGCAGTGTCAAGTTGTTTTTAACCATTTCATTTCACTGCTGTGGTTATAAAATACTTGATTGTTCCTCATTAGCATCTATTTCAGTTCACAATGCCTTTGTATGTGGAATGCTGGAAGGCCATATGCTCTGGAAGGAAACCAAGCAAACCTCTAGATTTATGGCCACCCCTTTTCAGTCTTAATGCCAAGAAAGAAATATTTTATGTCTCTAACTGCTATAAAACAGAGGCTTTGAGTATTCCCTGAATGCCAGGGGTTTGGAGTTAAAAAGGAGAAAATTAACATATAAATAGAATGACAAGGCCTTGCCAAATTGTAGAATCACTGAGTACTAGAGAACACAGACAAGAAAATTTGTCATTTTAATTCAGTATGATAAAGCCAATAATAAGAGTAGAGTACCTGGTATAGGGAGTACCTGGTATAGAGCCAAGTATAAGGCCATATAGACAGTTAACTAGGACTATATGTCTAGCACTTAACAGAGGGCCTAGTATTCAGTAGATTCAATAAGTCAATTAAATGAAGAGATAAACTGTACATTAGAAAAAGATAAACAAGGGAGTCTTTTAAATGAAAGTCAGATAGGTATATGAAAGGGTGAGAGAAGGAATGAGAACAATGTGAGTGACGCTGCATGCCATGTTCCTGCAAACTGCAGATAGTTCAGATTGCTTCACCATAAAGAAGAAACTGAAGAGCAACTGGTGATGGGACCATATTAGTGAAGTTTATGATCATTGGGGTTCTTTGTGTAATCAATGATCATTTTACCATTTCATGTTAGAAGACTTACAGAACTGTATTTGCATGTATGACACACCAATGTTTATTAAAGTAGGACAATATATCAAGCCAAGTCTTATTTTAGAAGCCCATTAATAAATAAGGTATGTTCATGGATACTCACTCCCTGTACTTACTAGTCTACTAGGACACTCGCCAGGTTTGACACTGAGGGGTTTAATGGAAAGAGCCCTAGCCTAGACCCAGAGGCTCAGGTTTAATACCTAATAGTATTACTAATTAGCAACAGAATTGTTGTGATCTCCTTTGGCTCAGGTGCTAAGTAGAAGGACTGAGTTAAAGGTCCCTTCTAATTCTAGAAGTCTATGGTTCTATAAATCTGGAGCTATAGTTTGTGATGCTGGGGACTTGGACAGGAATTTTAGCTACAGTTTTCAGGAATACATCTTAGTGAAGCCAGGGCCTGTATGTTTTTAATATGTAGATTCATTTGAAAAATATTAAATACCTTCTATGTGTGAGGTAGTTTTTCTTTTTTGGAGGGTAGTGGAGCTTGAACTCAGGGCCTTCCACTTGCTAGGCAAACACTCTACCACTTTAGCCATGCAGGTTCAACCCCTCATCCTTTTGCTTCAGTTATTTTTCAAATAGGGTCTTGCACTTCGTGCCCAGGCAGTCTTGGACTGTGATAATCCTACCTGTATGTCATGTGTACTGGGGATTACAGGATTCCAGGCTACCATACCTGGCTTGTTTGTTGAGATGGAGAACTCACTAATTTTTTGCCCAGACTGGTCTCAAACCATGATCCTTTGGATGTCTGCCTCACAAGTAGTTGGGAGTATAGGTATGAGCCCCTGCACCCAGCATGAGATAGCTTTTCTTGTGTAACTTTTATAAGTTTTTGTTTTTAATGTTAACTTTGATACGTTGGTAGATTAGGTGGAAATACCTAGCAGGTAATTTGACGTATAGGTCTTAAAATTAGGATTCAGGATAAACGAGGTCATCCACACAAGGTGATGGTTCAAAATGTGGAAGTAAATGAGATTACTTGGAAGGAAGAACAGAGAGGAGCAGATGGACAACAGTTCAATTCAAGTGGCGAAGAAAGATATGGAACTCTGCAAGAAACCTGAAAAGAAGCAGAGACATCAAAGAACTAAAATAGATTGTGTCATAATATTCTTTAGAAAGGAAGCTGACCAAGAGCCACAAAGAAGTAGCCTGCTAGATGAAGATAAGTCAGCCATGAACATAAAGGATCGCTAAGAAGACAGTGTAAGCTATTAGGAGCATGTAATTCAGTGTGCAGAGTAAAACTTGTGTCAAGTTCTAGGGTTGTTTGTTTGTTTGTTTTAAGGGTGGTTTAATCATGCTAAAAAGGAATAAATTTATAGGATTCAGTACCTGTACACATTAGTTAGAATATGACCTCATAGTAAATGGAAGGTTCAGTTCAGAATCTCAGATTCCAACGTCTCTGTTATCTTAGCTATATAACCATTCAGTCATCTAACAGGGTGGAGATTTGTAAATAGATAAATTACAGCCAGGTTGGTAGTTGCTATATTGAATGTGGTTAAAAGTGCTTGAGCAAATGACATAAGTATTCTTGAGCTCAATTTCTTTACCTATAAAATTGTTTAAAAATAGTTTTAAGCTTCACACTCTTATCTAGTGCCTCATGCAGTTCTATGAGTAGTTAAAATGTTACTTGTCTCCAAAAAGTATGTGAAATGCACATGTATATGTACTTTTATTGTATATTTTTAGAATTCCCTATATAATGCACTTTTTATAATGATTTTTCCCCATTGAGGTGCTTATCCTCTTAGCCAGTGAATAAGGCAGACCATACTGAATGCCCTTGGCTGGTGCACACTGTGCACTTTCATCCAATAATGCTCTGCCCCTCTTTGGAGAATCTTAAAGCATGTACTGACATCTCTAGGAACTGCTTTCTTTCATTTTTTTTTTTTCTTTTGGCAGTACTGGGGTTTGAACTGAGGGCCTCCACCTTGAACCACTACACCAGACCTTTTTTGTGATGAGTTTTTCAAGATAGCGTTTCACAAACTACTTGGCTGGGCTGGCTTCAAACTGCAATCCTCCTGATCTCTGCCTTCTGAGTAGTTAAGGATTACAGGCCTGAGCCACCTGCACCCAGCAGGAACTGCCTTATTCTTACCATTTATTTAGTAAGGAATAGTTTGGACCCATAGGGATACGATGTAGTAAAGGCTACTTTGCGGCCTTATTAAAATATAAGCTATATAAAGGCCAGTGGCCTGAGGTGCCTCTAAAGAAAAGGTTGCATGAAAAGAAAGTAAAGATTATTGGATCACCAGTCTTCCCACAGAATAGACAAAGTCACAAATTGTCAAAGTGCCCATTCTGTGTACTTTGATAGAGGGTGACTTTGTGTTTATAAATACTTATCATACTTATACTGTATGTGCCCTGCATAATTCTGGGTGTTGGAGCTACATTGGTGAGAATGAGAAGACAGAGTTAAACAGGGACAGAGTCCCAAGCAGAAATGTTAAATGTCTATTCTAACTGGTTCCTGGCAAAACCCAAACCAACCAACCTGCATAAATGGCACCACTTGGCCTCTCCCTACTCTCTGCCATTGCTGCATCTCATTGAAACCATGATATAAGAAAACAGTATTCAAATTATACAGTTAGATAACTGGATCTCCAGTACCTGTTAGTATGTGTGGTACATTAGCCTGGGAAAAAAAGGTTTAGAACTGACATTTGGGTAACATTGAATCCATACTTACAGGCCAGTTCACATTTTTCAGTAGAAGTTCACATTTAAATTTTTTAAATAGGTCTTTTTTTTTTTTAAGGGTTCTTGAATTTCATTTATTATGATTTCTTTCACGGTCACAATATCTTTTGCTTTGTTTTTTTTTTTTTTTTTTTTTTTGGTGGTACTGGAGTTGAGCTCCAAGCCTCATGCTTGATAGGCAGGTGCTCTACAGTTACTCCGTCGCCCTTTTTTGCATTGGATATTTTCAAAATAGAGTCCCATGAACTGTTTGCCCAGGCTAGCCTTGAACTGTGATCCTCTGCCTCTCAAGTAGCTAGGCTTGCAGGCTGAGCCACTGGTACCTGGATTTGTAAAGGCCTAAAATTACAGGGCTAGATTTGGAACACGGAGAAGTCAAAATACTAATCCTGCTTCTATTTTGACCCATTTGTAAAATGCATTGAATGAAAGCTGAAGGGATGTAATCATCCCTATATCCTAAAAAGTTATTTTAAAATTAGTTTCAATTAGATGAAACAAACCCACATTTTAATCACTTTGCTTTTTGTTTATAGGTCCAGGGGCAAGTTCATCCTACTCTTGAGTCTAATGATGATGCTCTTCAGTACGTTGAAGAATTAATTTTGCAATTATTAAATATGCTATGCCAAGCTCAGCCCCGAAGTGCTTCAGATGTAGAGGTATGATAAATTTATTTACTATATGTATTTCTAGTCTAGTCTGTATGTGTATCGTAATGCCAGTGGAGGGGAAAAGAATTCTCTCTTCAAATACATATATATATATATACACACACATATGTGAATACACGTACATATATGAATATTTGAATACATATGAAAATAAAGGTTGGATCTCCTGTAAACTTTGTATTATATATATGATAGCTTTATATTTTAGCTGTAAACCTATTCCATATTTTGCTTTTAAGCTAAAATAAGCAACTTCTTGATGCTAGAATGATGTGCTTATACCTTTAAGAACAGAATACATCCATGTGTTTCTTTGCATTCCCAAAACATTTCCCTTAATTTCAGAAGGAAAACATCTGAGTGAGGTGGGGACCAAAGAAAGAGTTGCTTGAATTTAAGATTTCATTGGTAACACAGTTACAAAGTAAGAGGTGGCCATGCTGGTAGTGGCTGGAATAGAGGTACAAGTCCCCCAAATGAGGTATTTAAAGAATTATGAGCCTAGGAGATGAGTGGAAGTCTGATGTTCCAGAAGCAGCTTATGGACCTTATGTGAATTGTGGGACAAGGACAGTTCCTGTTCTAGTAGTCTTCAGGGGAGATCCAAATTTCAGTTGAGGCAAATAAGTATCAAGGCACATTAAGGCTGAGGGTGTAACTCAGTGGTGTAGCACTTGCCGAGTGTGTTCAACTGAGGCCCTGGGTTCCATCCCCAGCACTGCCAAAAAAACAAAACAAAACACTGAGTAATAGAGGTTGTGGATGTAGGAAAGATTGTGTACTACAGAATAGTAATTCGCTTTTTAAAAGTAATTCAGAGTAGGTGTCTTATAATTTTAGTTTTATTTTTTCCTTTTATGTGGTTTCTTACATTTTAATCCTATTTTCCATTGAATTAAGTCAGTTATCTTTTATTTGTAGTTTCCTTTAAATACCTTTACAGTGGGCTTCAGAGAATGGATCTTGAATAGAACTGGTTGCCTGACTCTCCTTCTCATTAATAATTCCAGTTGTTCTTTTGGATCCTAGTTAGGCTTCCCCTATGTTTATATAAAATGGCAGAATCCAGCCCTGTCTAGTGTATTAGAATAGGGTTACAGGTTTCATCTTGCTTGTTATTCATGTGTTGATACATTGCAAACTTAAATCCAGTTCTTTCCAGATACATTATACATTACTATGCTTGTCTAATTTAGTCCTTTTAATTAATATAGAAATTCATCATTTTCTAATATTGAAGGAAAATATCCAGAGTATGAGTCTCTCAGTCTTCCATTTGCACACTATATTTAATCAATATCTAAATTCAAGACTAAATAAAGACTAAATAAATTTCATAGATTTTAAATACTCTCTTAGAAAAGAACACCTGAGATACCTAAGAGATGTTCACCAATATCCTGCTTTATGATTTTTAAGACACTTCACCTGGACCTTTAAAATAGAGGTAGCCATATGGTGTTGGGGCTAGGGATAGATTTTTTTTTTGAAAGAATATGTAAAAGTATAAAAGTCATAGACATATAAAATCAGTTTTATAATAAGCATTGTAATTTCAAAATACTGTTATATAAATTTTTATACCCTATAACAACCCTGTGGGATATTTTTCTTCTTATTTTCTATATCAGAAAATTGGCCCTCAGAAGAGAATAGACAAAAATGGGTAGAAATTAGTTGTTTTAAGTCAATTTTGTAATAACCTTCTGTTCACACCATTCCTGGAAGGGTATGTAGATAAGAATGAAGAATATGGAGATAAGGAGACTGAGATGAGTATAATAGTTTCTTAGTGTGTTCAGGCTGCTATAACAAAATACTTTAGACTTGGTAATTTATAAACAGCATAATTTCATTGTTTATAGTTCTGGAGGTTGGGAAGTCCAAGATGAAAGTGGACTATATGATGTCTGGTGAGGACTCACTCTGCTTCTGTGTGGCTTCACATAACTGAAAGGGGAGCCTTCCTTTCCTCAAGCCTCTTTTAGAAGGGCACGAATTCCATTCATAAGGACAGAGCCCTCATGACCTAAACATCTCCTAAAACTCCCACCTCTTAATAACCACAATGAGGATTAAGTTTCAATTTGAATTTGGGAGGGATGCAAACATTCAGACTATAGCAAAGGATATTTTAGATTCTTTTATCAGGAAATAACGTTCTGTTTTCCTCATTCATTAGCAGTCAGTATTTTTAAAAATATAGAACTTTCTTTTAAAAGTAATAAAGTCCCTTAATTTAGCAAGCCCTTCAAATATATTTTTGGGTGACCTTTTCCCCTCAGAGACATACGTTAGTAGTCATTTTAGTCCAACTGCTACCCTTTTCTACCCATACTATACACTAGTATTTTCTAGATTCCAGGTCTAACCCATTAATAAATCATGAAATCACTTTAGTGCATGTCCCAACTAACATCTAAAAAAAAAAGAAAGAAAGAAAAGACCAGTGTACTTCATAAAGTAAGGGCAGGTTTTATTTATGAAACTATGAGTTGAGTGCATGTGTAAGGATATAATGTAAAATTTTTTGAGAATGTATTATTTATTATTTCTTACTATTAGGTGAACCACAGGATCATACCATTATTAAGTCTGTACCATGGATACACCTATTAATTTAACCATCAATGTAAACATTTTAACTGCATGCCATGGTAAACTTAATACTCCTTCCTCTTGTCATTTTGGATTAACAAGTGTATAAAACAGAATTGGATAAAAGAAAATAATTTTTGTTCTGAATGTTCCTTTCCCTCTTCCCCTCTCTCCTTTTTCACTCACTCTTGCTCTTCTGCCTTTGGATTGCCTTTACTCCATAAGGGTAATATCCTGGCAAATAGGTTTCCAACTAGGAAGTTGAAGAGATTTGTTAATTCATTTTTTCACTACAATAATTTCTTTCAAATAGCTTCTAAATGAATTTAAGTGATCATTTAAAAAATTTAGCTGGGCGCTAGTGGCTTATGCATGTAATCCTAGCTGCTTGGGAAGGTGACATAGGGAGGATATCTGTTTAAGGCAAAATAGATTGTGAGATCCTATCTCCAAAACAACCAGAGCAAAATGGACTGGAGGTTTGACTCAAGCAGTAGAGCACCTTCCTTGCAAGTATGAAGCTCTGAGTTCAACCTGCAATCCCACCAAAAAACAAACAAACAAAAAAAAACCACCAAAAAACCAAAGGGAGTTGATTGAGCCTTGAATATAGATGAAGAATGGATTAAACGTCTCAGTTTAGCAGGCGAAGTGGCTCAAACAGTAAGAGCGCCTGCCTAGCAGTGTGGGGCCCTGAGTTCAAGCCTCAGTGCTGCCCCAAAAAAATCTTAAATAAACTTCTCAGTTTGTAAGTTCATAGGAGAGAGCTAGAAGCCTTGTATTCTCTACCCCTTACCCCCAGTATGAGATGGCAATGTCTTTTTTTTTTTCCATTTTAACTGTATCTGATAAACTTTTATTCAGGTTTATAATCAGAGGTAATGTTTAAATGTTTAATTTCATCTAGTAGTTTTTACATACTATTTGAATACTGAGCAATTTAAAATGTTATCTGCCTTCCCAAAGTTATGTAAGAGCGACCTCTACTGGTTTTAATTGTGGTAGTGCAATACTTGCAGTATTCCAAGTGGGTTTAAAAAAATGTGAGGGGTTGGAAATGCCTTTCTTATTTATATTGAATTATATTAGCTTATTAAAGAAGGAAATTCAGCGATTTATAATAACTCAAGTTCTTTTACTTTAATGAAATTTTAACTGAGTAACTTCTGGAAATTAAATTGAAATAGTTTGTTAAAATCAGTGATGTATGGAGGACTTTAAAGATGAGTTAGTGTATTAAAATTGCTGTTACCAATAAAGCTATTGATTTTCATGATTTGTAGATAGTTTAAAGTTAAGTACTTTATTTAGCATGATGGGTAAAGAAAAAATTTCTTAGAGATTTCAATTGCATAAAGCTTTTTGAACTTATAATTATTATTGAAAGTAAGGACAAGTAATGGGAACTGGATTTAAATACTTGCTTTTTTTTGGTTGGGTGGGGTTTGAATTCAGGGCTTTGTGCTTGCAACGTAGGTACTCTACTGCTTGAACCATGCCACTAGTCCATTTTGCTCTGGTTATTTTGGAGATAGGGTCACATGAACTATTTGCCCAGGCTGGCCTTGAACTGTGATGCTCTCGATCTCAGCCTCCCAAGTAGCTAGTATTACAGGAGTAAGCTACCAGTGCCCAGCTAGACTTTTGCTTCTTGAGCTTAGATCTCATTTGAAATTTTAGGAAAAGTAATGTTTATAGTGACTTATGACTCATTCTTGTCATTAGTTTTGTCATAGTAAAGTTGGAATTCAGGATATGATCTTCTCCCTAGATAACAGAAGGAATATTTAGACTGTTAATTGTGTAATTAAGAAAATAATACAAGTATAGTTTTCTTTTAGCTTAGGTATGTTTTTAGTAAATTATTCCACATGTGAAAATCTCTTGTTATTCTTTGATTTTAAGAGTAAATTTTAAGTGAAGAGCATTATTTCATTTATTTGTTGCTTAGTTGTTATTTTCCTGTTTTCCAAGGAACGTGTTCAAAAAAGTTTCCCTCACCCAATTGATAAGTGGGCCATAGCTGATGCCCAGTCAGCTATTGAGAAGAGGAAGCGAAGAAACCCTTTATCTCTCCCAGTAGAAAAAATTCATCCTTTATTAAAGGTAAAGCTGAAATATTGCCTTCTTACCTTTGAAAAGCAAAATAAAACCCACCATTTTCAAACACTAAGAATGTTTGAACTGAACAGTAAAATTCTCTCATTTTAAGTTTTCCAGGGATCCATGTGGTGGGAGGGGTACTATGATAATAAGAAAGTATAAATTGGGCAGTGTAATTTAAGGTAATTTCATACCACTAACAATAAGCAAATTGAAGAGACTTAGCAAAGTTATTGTAGATTTTATTTCAGGTGTTCCTTGAACTTGCAAAGAGAATTATAAAACTCTCCTTCTTGGTTAGACCTAAGTGTTCCTATAAATCCTTTAGATGTTAATATTTTGTGTAGGAACTTTTGTGAGATCCCATAGATCAATGTATAATCTTTGAACAAAAATTCCCTGAAGATCACCTAAACTAGCCAGTCAGTTAATCTCTCCATAACTAGTAGAGTAAGTGCCAGAAACCATAATAATACCTTTTCAGTCATATTTAATGCAATGAACAAACTTGTTTAATTAAAACCTTAATACTTTTAGAAAGCAACAATTTTGCATATAGTGTAATACAGGCAAAAATGCTAATACTTACATATATTTTCTCTGAGTTTAATTCCCAAAAAGTTATTATGATCTACAATTGTAAATGAGGAAGAGGAGGCAGAAAGCAATTAAATAACTCCCTAGTTCAAATTCACAATACTCATAAGTAATAGTGTTAGGAAATCCAGATTTCCTTAATCTTATCTAAAATTTAAGACTAAACACTTGGATGATGTTTAAAATTATCAAAAGGTTCTATTTTACATTTGGTGGTTAAGAATAGAAACCATCTGCCTTTATCTTACTGACTGGTTTGAGGAAATGGTGCATGTTATGGGAAATAATAAATTTATTAATAATTCAACATTTCTTTTATAATTTACAAGATTTTCATTGGCCATATGTTGAATTATATTCTAAGAGAATTAACAATTTGAGACAGGTACATGCTGTAATGATCCTAAATTTTGAGTTTTACAATCTAACTGTGTATATCATTTCAACTTCTTAATGCATCTTTATCATGATACATTTAATAGTTTTTACATTCTTGAAAGGTAAACACTACCTGTTCCCAACTTACAGTAAACTTTTGTGACACTGGGGTTTGAACCCAGGGCCTACACCTTGAGCCACTCCAACAGCCCTGTTTTGTGATGGGTTTTTCAAGACAGGGTCTCCTGAACTATTTGTCTGGGCTGCCTTCAAACCGCAATCCTCCTGATCTCTGCCTCCTGAGTAGCTAGGATTATAGGTATGAGCCACTGGTGCTCAGCTTTACAGTAAACTTAGTGGGCTTGTTTAGAATTTGTTCTTCTTTAGGAACTGGTCAGCTCCAAAAAAAGAATGTATTCTCTTTAAAGTCTAATAATAAGATGGACTATTTAATATGCTCTTAAGAACTACCATTGTTCAGTAGGACACAGCATGAAGTTTTTCATAGAAACAGCCAGGAATACCAGGAATGTGCCACTAGTATTTGGGGGTACTCAGGTCCCTTTGGGAAGGACAGATGTATAAGATTAATAGATGCTCCTAGGTTCCAATAATATATTCAATCTTGTTTTGTATAAAAGAGAAAACTCACATCTCACAGTTACTTCCAGGTTTCTTACTTGGTTACAGAGAGCATTTTATCTCTTACACCAAATTTGTACTTCCCTTCCTAGGTTAGGGATAATCTGTTTAGTAATGTATACCTCTTAAGTATTGTACATGACCAGGGACAATTTTGTCTTGCCTGTTCTTAGCTTACATTTTTCAACAGTGACACTTACATTATTGAAAATTGAACCACTGGTAATTAAATTGTAAAATCAAATGTTTATAATGACAGGCCTCAGTAAAAGTTAAGCTAAGTTGCATGGTTTTTAAAATTCTTAATCAATGTGTTAAATTTGTAGTGTATTATGTTTAAACATAGTTTTCTTTTAATTTTGTAGGAAGTCCTAGGTTATAAAATTGACCACCAAGTTTCTGTTTACATAGTAGCAGTATTAGAATACATTTCTGCAGACATTTTAAAGCTGGTGGGGAATTATGTAAGAAATATACGGCATTATGAAATTACAAAACAAGATATTAAAGTGGCGATGTGTGCTGATAAGGTAAGCAACTGAACTTCTATGTTTTATTTTTATTTTTATTTGTGATTCATTGGATACTAATGTACTATTCAAACAGAATAAAATTGTACACTGTATTATGTCCTGGGGGCTACTTCCAGTAATCCAATAGCAAGCATTCCGCATATCACTTTATAGAAATAGGATATTAGATGTATAGTATTAAAATGTTTTTAAATATATCATGTAGTTATTGTCTTCTGTATTGCTACAACTAGGGTTAGTTACAGTAATAGAACTTTAATAGTAAATTTCTTAAATTTTTATTTGATTTGTAAAGGTTAGAAGGTTATGGATTTACTTACACAATTTTTGAAAATGTGTACACTAAATGATGGTTTTCATTTCAACACCTAGATTTCTTTAGATACTAGTTGTGCAGTGTTTCAACACTAATACCAAGAACAACCATTTACTGCAAGTTAAGCAGATACATGGTTTGTCTCATTTGGTCATTATGATACTCCTTTAAGGGAGTGATCTTATTACAGAATATAAAAGGGAAGCTAAATTTCAGGCAGATATGGAAATTGGTTCAGAGTTTTCTGAGAAATATGAAAGCCTAGACTTGAACTCTAGATCTTAGTCTAAAGCTTTTTAGTCCTTGCCTTAGCATTTTCATTTTATGAAAATGATTTTGCAGAAAAGAAAACATTTTCTAATGAAGCATTTCATTCCATTTTTTCACTGTACTCTTATTAACTTGGAATATTTTTTCTGATTACTGAATTCACTTAATTATGTTTTACCATTTATTTGTCCTTTCAGAAATGATAATCTAAAATTAAAAATCATCTGATCTGAAGAATTTCAAATGTGATTTTAAAATGAATAAGTATTTGGTTTTCAAAATTATTATTTAAAAATGAATCTTAAATGTTTAATATTTTTAGTGAATGAGAGAAATAATCTCGAGTACTTATTATGTGCTCACACAGAGAAGAAATGCAAGAGAATCTAAAACCAAGGCTCCAGAATTGATGAAGAGATACTTATATTTTTGAAATAAGCAGAAAGTAGCACAAGATAAAGCATTTTATTATAGGGATAGGATACTGTAGAAGTTCATAAGAAGGGAAAAGATGAGTTTTACCAAGAGTGATAATGGTAGACTTCTTGGAAAAAACAGGATATGATCTATCTTCTCAAAATGAAGGAAATAACCTAAACTAGAAGACTGTAAGAGTTGCTCAAATATGAGGGAAGGAGGCAATGGAGTAAGGTGAGTTAAATGCTATAGAGCAGAGGACACAAAGTTGGAGAGAAATGCAAGGCAATTTGGGAACAAATTAGAAGTAATAGGTTAAGAGAGACAGACAGATACTAGTATTTGTAGAGAACCTGGAGGAGGCATGTATGATACCAGACGTAGAGTTCTGTTTTAGGGAAACTTCAGAGAAGCTATGGAGAGGTGGTGCCATTATATCCCAAAGAGACAGTCAGATGCCTGTTCTCCTTTTTTAATCATTTAAAACTTTATTCAAAGCATTTACCTTCATTTGACTATAGACTCTTATTTTGTACTTTTTATATCACCATGTAGGTATTGATGGATATGTTTCATCAAGATGTAGAAGATATAAATGTATTATCTTTAACTGATGAAGAGCCTTCCACCTCAGGAGAACAAACTTACTATGATTTGGTAAAAGCATTTATGGCAGAAATTCGACAATATATAAGAGAACTAAATCTAATTATAAAAGTTTTTAGAGAGCCCTTCGTCTCAAATTCCAAATTGTTTTCAGCAAATGTAAGTATATTGTCTATATGTCTATCATTGCATCTATTGTTAAATTTCCTTCAGATTTGAATTTATATAGTTCATGACTACTAATTTGTTAGTATTTAAAGGTCGTGGGACATAATTCCTGCTCACAAAGTGCTTCAACAATTTCAAGAGATTAAACATCAAAAATTAAAAAATAAAATTTAAAGTAGACTGACTATGTAAGTGAAGATGAATTCATAGAATCTTCCATGCCAAAGAATAAAGCCTGTTTGGCTGGAGGCATGGCTCAAGTGGTAGAGTGCCTGCATTCATGTGTGAAGCCCTGAGTTCAAACCCCAGCACCACAAAAAAGAAAAAATAAATAAATAAAGCCTTTGTTTATATGGAAGATATTCTTGTTTCATTTGACTCATTTAACCATTACTTTGTCAGCACCAACTGTATTGTCAGGCATCAATGCTTAGCCATGGGGATTGAAAGATGAATAAGAGCTAATTTCTTCCCTCAGGTTCAGTAGATTGTGGTGATAACTATGATAGATGTTTGATAGCAGTATTTTTGGGAGCACAAAGGCAGGAGCCAGTAACATTGAAACTCTGAGAGGGAATTACTGGTTTCAGGATTATAGTGCAACTGCCCCACGCAGGACCTGAGGATACGCTGAGCAAGAGCAGATGCAGTTGTCTGAGGGTTACATACTAGGAATTCCTACCTAGCTATAGGTGACTGATGGAGAAACGGTGCTCTCACTACAGAAGCTGGGACTGCTGCTCAAATTATGACAATTTTTTTTAAAGATTAAAAAATAAAAGAGTAGGGAATGAGGGTTTAGCTCAGTCCTAAAGTGCTTGTCTTTTTAGCATGTGTGAAGCCCTAGGTTCAAACCCTAGCACTGCAGGAAAATAATAAATAGTAAATAAAGGAGTAAATTATAGTGATAATTGTACAAATCTGTAAATATACTAAAACCACTGAACTACTTATTTTAGATGGTGAATTGTATATTTCAATGAAGTTGCTAAGACGTCTTAGACAAAAATCAAGAGCCCATAGTGCAAAGTAAAGCTACCAGGAGGCACGATCACACACTCATTAGAAAGACTGGAACAAAGACTGAAAGACCAAATGTTGAAGAGGGTGTGGAGCAATTGCTTGTGGGATTGTAAAATTCCCACATTACCTGTGAGATGTAAGCTAGTATAAACATTTTAGAAAAAAGTTTGGCAGTTTTATGAAGCAATAAACATAAACCAACCATACGCTCCAGCAGCTCTGCTTCTGGGTGTTTGGGTAGGAGAAATGAAAACATGTGCATACAAAACTTGTTATGAACGTTCATAGCCACTTTATTTCTAATAACCTAAAACTGGAAATAACCCAAATGCCTATCAAAGGGTATACACGTGATAGCCACAATGGAATGTCAGTCAGCAATAAAAAGGAACTAAGTAGTTAAACATGCAATGGCATGAATGCTGGCATAGAAACTGGACACAAAAGATTAAATATTTCCATTTACTTAATCTTCAGAAAAGATACTTCCTTCATGCCAAAAAGCAGATTACCTGCTTTCCTCGGGAGTAAGGATGGTGAGGGTTGATGGGGATGTGGCATAAGGAAACTTTTTTAATGCAATGAAAATGTTGTGCATTTTAATTATGATGGGGAGGTTAAAAGATGAATAGCTATGTAAAAACCTCATCAAAAAGTACATTTAAAATATGTCTGTCTTACTATATATGAACCATACCTCAGAAGTGATTTGACAAAAATAATGTCACTGATAAAAATAATCAAATCAAGTAATAGTAACCAATGGATTTTAATATAATAGTACAAAATTGATACAGCTTCAGATTCCACATTACAGCTAACTTAAGAAACTACCACTTGTAGCTAGAGGCATGGGTAGGAGGTAGAGTGCCTGCCTAGCACACATAAAGCCCTGAGTTCAAACCCCAATACCACCAAAAAAAAGGAAAAGAAAGAAATGATCACTTTTTAAATGTTGGCATGCTATCATAAAAGGATATTTAATCTATATGAGTCATCCAGAATAGGTAAATCTATAGAGAGATAGAAAGTAGAATAGTGGTTGCCAGGTCTGGGAAGAAAGCAGGATGGAGAATGAGTGTTAATGGGGTTAGGGTGTCTTTTAGGGGTAATACAATGTTCTAGAATTTGACAGTGATGATGATTATACAGCTACAAATACACTGAAAACTATACTGAATAATAAGTACATTGTGTAAGGGCAAATTTTATGGTATGTGGATTTTGTCTCAGAAAAATTGCATCAAAATAGAAAATAATACCACAATTATTTGAGTAGGCTATTAAAATATTCTTTTCTTTTCCTGTTATGTATATAAAGCTAGACTTTCTTTATGTACTCAACCAAAATGGTGTATCACAATATTAAACACAATAGTTAGGAAAATCCTATTTTTTTTCTATTAAACTACATGTTTGAGATTTGCAAAAATGTAAAAACACATACACACAAAAAGAACCCACAAAACAAAAACAAAAATCCTGCCACTTTTCTACTAAATGTTTCCTTTTTGTTGTTTTAGAAATATAGTTAGTTTTCACAAAAATTTTATGCTAATATATAGTGGGGTTCATTGATTTTTTTAATGAATTAAATGTTTTAAAATATTATTAGCTTTAATTTCTAATATTGTAAACAATGATGGATATTAGCAAAAGCTTTTTGGAGTCTTCTATAACTTTTAAAGAGTATAAAAGAATCCTAAAACCAAAAAGGTTGAAAGCTACTGACCTAATGAAATATATTTCAAGTTGTACATCACTGCAAAAGGAATTCTTGAATTGACCTAATGAAATATATTTCAAGTTGTACATCACTGCAAAAGGAATTCTTGAATTGACCTAATGAAATATATTTCAAGTTGTACATCACTGCAAAAGGAATTCTTGAATTAATCTTTCATTTATATTTGTAAATCATTAAAATTTTTCAGTGTATATCTGCTATGTTTTGTGGTTACAAAATGACTTTATTAGCTCAAAATGTGTCTGTTATTACACAGCCTAACCTACTTAGTATATTTCCCTATTCTCTTCTCGACAGGATGTAGAAAATATATTTAGTCGAATAGTAGACATACATGAACTTAGTGTAAAGTTACTGGGCCATATAGAAGATACTGTTGAAATGACAGATGAAGGCAGTCCCCATCCATTAGTAGGAAGCTGCTTTGAAGACCTCGCAGAGGTAAGTACTTCAGTTATATACCAAAAGAAGTCTGTGTAGAAGCCCCTAATTGTGTTAAAATTGGGAATTTTAATTCTTGCTTCCAGCTAAGCCATAGATACGAACTGCTGATTCCTTAATCTGTTGCCCCTCCCTCATAGGGTCCTTGTCAACGTTTGTTTCTATTATCTTAGTAAACATAGAAAAAGTGATCTCTCATAGAAAAACATCCCACAGAGGAGAGACACTATAGCTGGCTCCCAGTGTCATCCTATAAAGTCTTTCACAGCAATGCCAGGAAAGTTAATGAATAAATGAAGAACTTGAATCTGGAGTCAGACTACTTGTATTCCTCTCTAAGCACTGCTACTTCCTAATTGTGTAAATCTAGCCAAGCCTATTCACTTTCTCTAAACTTCCACATATTTGTAAAATAAGGATTGTAGTAATAGGGCTCAAGATTTTTTGTGTGTGTGAAAATTAAGATAACCTATCTGAAGAACTCAGCTAAGCACCTTTACAAAGTAAGCTAATCAGTATGTGATAACCATATTGTTATTTAGAATAGGAAGAATTAAGTCACCAGGAAAATCAGGTCTGGGGCCTAGATGATTCAGACAACATGGGGTAGAACGTCTGGTAACTGTCAAATGCTAATCAGAGTCCTAATAAATTAGTATTGATAGTCATTCTGAAGTTTCTAGCGCTCTCTCTGTCTCACTCTAAAATCATTTATTATAACATAGTGTTGAGCATGTGAAAAAAAATCTGAAAAGAAATATAATACTTAGTAGCTAGATTATAGGAGAATTCAGAAACTATAAAAGAATACTATAATTGCCTCTATTCAGTATTCTGTTAGAGATACTACTAAATGCAAAAAGGACAGAAAAAGAATAGGCAAGACAAAGCTGCCCTTTTTGTAGTCAATATAATTGTCTACTTAGCAAATCCAAAAACAGGTATGCATTACTACAACTAGCAGGCAAGTTCAGTGTAGTGACTAAAGATCAGCATTGCTTTGCTCTGTGACAGCTCATGGAACATAAAGCATTAAAGGCCAAAGACTCTATTCACAAAGGTGTGTAAGACCTTCATTATGAAAAATAATAAAATAATTCAGTTCATAAAGAATATATGAATAGATAAGAAATACATCCCATACCATGTTTTTAGATGGAAAGACTCAATATTGTAATAATACTAGTTGTCCCCATAATAATCTATAAATCCAGTACATATCAAGCTGATCCTAAAATTCATGTGTGAGAATAAAGGGCAGGACCTAGGCATAGTGGTATATGCCTGTAATCTGGAGGTTGAAGCAGGAAGATCACAAGTTCAAGGGCAGCCTGGGCTACAAGTAAGACACCCTAAAAAGAAAAGAAAGGTACAAAAATAATTTGGAGGAAGAAGAAATCAAGGGGACTTATTCTATCACATATTATTTTATGGTAAATAAAGTGTAGTATTTGTGCCAATACAGACAGATAGTAGAACAGAAAAGAGAGGTTTAAAAATATATATACACACACTCCTAATATGTGACAGAGGTAATAATAAGTATAGAAAGAACAAGATAATTAATGATGCTGGGTCAAAACTGGTTACCTGTATGGAAAAAAAATTCATTCTGTAGCTTACATCATTTATAAAAAGTTCTTAGTTGATTAAAAATCTGAAAAATCCATGTTCATGAGTTAGAATAATTGATATTGATAAAATGCCCATACTACCCAAAGCAATTTATAGAATCAATGCAATCTGCATCAGAAAACCAATGACATTCTTCATAGAACTAGAAAAAAAACTAGAAAAAAAATTTGTATGGAAACACAAAAAACCTCAAATAGTGAAAGCAATCTTAATGTTTTCCCCTTTTTTTCTTAGTATGTTTTAATTGTCCAAAGTAAATGGGTTTCATTGTGACAGAAGGTATTGTATTTACCTAACTTCAAAAGGTAAGCTACAAGAGACTGGGGAGAGGGGTTTGTAGCTTAGTAGTAGAGCATTTGCCTAGCATATGTGAGGCCCCAGGTTTGATCCCTGGAAATACACAAAACCCCAAACAAAACTATAAAGCTATAGTAAATAAAACAATATAGTACTGGCATGAAAACAGACATATAGACCAATAAGAATGTAATAGAGAGTCTAGAAGTAAACCCATACAATTTTAACCAACTAATCTTTGACAAAAGTGCTAACAATACACACTGGAGAAAGGACAGTCCTTTTAATAAATGGTGCTGGGAAAACAGGATATCCATAGACAGAGGATTGGAACTAGACCCCTATCTCTCACCATATACAAAATCAACTAAAAATGGATTAGTCTTAAATATAAGACCTGAAACTATTAAACTACCAGAAGGAACTGCTTCAGGACATTGGAATGGGCAAGGATCTTTTGGATAAGAAGTCAGTGGTTCCCGCCTGTAATCCTAGCTACTCAGGAAGCAGAGATCCAGGAGGAGCAGCTTGAAGCCAGACCCTAGGCAAATTGTTCTGAGACCCTATCCTGAAAATACCCATCACACATTAAAAAAGGGCTGGTGGAGTGGATCAAGCAGTAAGACCCCCTGCTAGTAAGCATGAGGCCCTGAGTTCAAACCTCAGTGCTGCAAAAAAAAAAAAAAAACCAAAAGCATAAATAGGCAAATGGGAGAAAATATTTATCTGGGAAGGGGTTAATATCTAGCATGTATAAGGAATTTTAACAAATTAATACAAGAAAAGCCAATCTCTCATTTAAAAATTGACACTAGATAGGCTTAAAATAGCCAACAGGGATGAAAACAAATGAACATCACTAATCATCAGGGAAATGTAGATCAAAACCACAATGAATTATCGCCTCACTTCAGTTAGAATGCCTGTTATCAAAAAGACAAAAGTGTTCTTGAGGATGTGGAGGAAAAAAACCTATATATACTATTGGTAGGAATGTATGTTACTGTAGTCATTATTAAAAAAAAAAAAGGTATGGAGGTTCCTTAGAAAATTAAAAACAGAACTATATGATCCAGCAGTCACACTACTGGGTATGCAGCCAAAGGAAATACATCAGTATGTGAAAGTGACATATCAATAGCCTTCAATAAAGAGTGGCTTAAAGAAAAATGATGTATTCATAATGTAGAATATTATTCAGAGTTTTAAAATAAATGACCTGGAAGGATCTGTATGAACCAGAATAGATAAATTCTGAATACAACTTCGACCATAAAAAGCAATCTGCAGAAGAATATATATAAATATACATACATATATGTCCACCCATATGAATGGTATTTATGTGAAGTTTGAAAGCATGCAAAACAGTGGATTGCCCTTTTCTTGACACATGCAATTTTGATATAAAAACATACATGGAAATGATAAAGTTCAAATACAGATAGTGGCTACCTATGGTGATCAGGAGGAAAGGAGACAAACTTGCGAAAGGAGTTCTAGGGGATTGGTTGCATCCACACTTTTATTTCATTTTATAAAAATCTGAAGCAAGTATAAAATGTTGACCTTTGTCTAGCTAGATGATGTGTATAGTTAAGTTAGATTGTTCTTCATATTTTCCTGCCAGTTACAAGTATTAATAATTAAATTTTATCTTTTTCTGTGAATCCTATACCTTTTAACCAATAAACTGATCATAAAAATCACCTATTAACTCATTCATGGATTCTTAGGAATACATGCCATTCTACAGATTTTCCTTAAGAATAAAACTACAGGATTAGAGTTTGGATTCCCAGTGAATTGTCTGTTTTTTTCCCCCTCTTGAGATGATCTATTTATTACCTACCATATTGCAATACTAGCTACCATTTATTAGGTGCTTACTATGTGCCAGACACTATAAGTACTTATCTCATTTAATTCCTAAAATAACTCTATGAAGTATTATCCACATTTTCCAATGAGGAAACACAGTAAGTAGTCTGTTGACAGCCACACAGCTAATAAGCAGTGAAGTCAGAATTGGAACCTAGGTCTTTGTGACTCCAGAGCCTGTGTTTTTAAACTATGCTTTCTTTTGTTTATAGTTGTAACAATTCTATTATATATTGGGGCTTATTGAAAGAGAAGGAAGGCAAACATGTCTACTGTATGATCATTTCTTGCAGTTTGGAGAGGCCTGGAACACAGGTGTATTCCTCTTTCCCACATGCTCTGTTTTTTCCTGACTCTTTCCTGTTGTTGGTGAAAGTGTTCTACCCATTTCTGTAAACTTTGCAATGAGTTGCAGTCTCTGGTATTACATTATTATAACACAAATTTTTAGTTGAAATGACTGTTTAAGGAGTTAAAATTAGGGAGTGAACAGAAATCCTGCTCTTGGAATCCAGGATGACTTGAAACTTTTTGTGTCATATTGCATTTTACAGTGACCAGAACTCAAGTCTTAACGATGTCTGATCTAGAATTAATAATATTCAAGTTTTCCTTAAAAAATGAGTGAAAAACAACATTAAGGATAATTAACTCAAACATCATTTGTCCTATCATTTCCTCCTACTTCCTTCTACTATACTCCACTTTATTATGCTCCTTCCACTCTTCCTCTAAAATGAATCTGTATGAAAGTGAACTCCTGCTACAATCTACAGCACTGTTTTCTTAATAGTTTTATACCTGGAATAGGGCACGGAAGAGTAGAGGCCCTATTCCTCCTGCTACAATCAATAGACTCACTCTCTTTTTCCTTGATACTGTTTTAAACCTAGCCATGATAATTTAGTTTTATTGACAATTGGTTGTATTGATAATGATAGTAAAATTTTTGGCAGTTTGCATAAAGTTGTTTTATGAAAACTGTAACAATGACTTTTTTGGTGGGACTAGTATTTGAACTCAGGGCTTTGTGCTCACAAAGGAGACGTTTTACCACTTGAGTAACACCTCCAAGTCCATTCTGCTCTGGTTATTTTTGGAGGTGGGGTCTGGAGAATTATTTGCCTAGGCTGGCAAATAATTTGCCTGTGATCCTCCAGATCTCAGCCTCCCAAGTAGCGAGGATTGTAGGTGTAAGCCACCAATGCCAGCAACAGTGACTTTTAGATGATAGAAATTGTTACTTTTGGCTTACAGAATGTGAAATTAAAAGTCTGTCACCAAAGGAAAAAGCTATAGGGCTGGTGGAGTGGCTCGTGTGGGAGAGCACCTGCCTAGCAAGCACAAAGCCCTGAGTTTAAACCCCTGTACTACAAAAAAGAAAGAAAAAAAACTATGATAAAATAAACATCTGTCATCAGAATTCTAAGTGTTTATACCTTGCCTATTTATTGATAGCCATATTCTTTTTTTTTTATTCATATGTGCATACAATGTTTTGGTCATTTCTCCCCTCTTCCCACTATATTCTTTTTCAGTTAAGCTTTGTTGTTTTCCAGAACCAAGTCTGCCTTATTTATTTATTTATTTATTTATTTATTTATTTTGGTAGTACTGGGGCTTGAACTCTGCCTCACTTTTGCTAGGCAGGCTCTTTACCACTTGAGTTACTCCACTAGCCCTCTTATAGTAACTCTATACTCTACTGATTCCTTTAATGAGAAGTATCTTAGAATATAAGTTCCTATAATTCATAACAAAGAATTGATGTATACTTTTGAAATAATTAGTTTTATTCTGTTAAAATTACAGTTACAATTTTTTTTATTTAGAGGTTTTAAAAGAAATATATAACTGTGCTGGCATAGATGTGCTAATGATTTAGTATTTTGTTTATGGTGGTAGACTGTGTTTTGCCTTAGAGATTATTTACACTTTACATTCTTTATTTTCTAAGGAGCTGGCATTTGACCCCTATGAATCGTATGCTCGCGATATCTTGCGACCTGGCTTTCATGACCGATTCCTTAGTCAGCTGTCAAAGCCGGGGGCAGCTCTTTATTTGCAGGTATAGTAATTTTTAAATCAAGATATACAATGTTCAAAAAGTTAACTTTAAAAAAATTTAAATCACTTTCTTTTCTAGTCAATAGGCGAAGGTTTCAAAGAAGCTGTTCAATATGTTTTACCCAGGCTACTTTTAGCCCCAGTTTACCACTGCTTGCATTACTTTGAACTTCTGAAGGTAAGAAGAGCCTTATTGATATTTATAAAATATTTGAATGTAATGAATTACTGTTATTATTAATTTTGGGGTATTTCTGGGGATTGAACTCAGTGCTTCCTACTTGCTAGGCAAGCTTTTTACCACTTGAGCTATGTCTCCAGTCCTTTTTTGTTTTACTTTTTGTTGTTGTGGCAGTTTTGGTTTTGGTTTTTGGTATCAGGGCCTGTGCTTGCTAAGCAGGCACTGTACCACCTGAGTCACACCTTGAGCCCTTTAGTTTGTTTTTTGATGGGTATCACTAACATTTTTACATGGACAGGTGTTGAACTGCAATACTCTTATCTAGCTGGCATATACCACAACACTTTTTTGTTTTTTGGTAGGGCTTGGTTTGAACTCAAGGCTTCATGCTTGTTAAGCGGCACTATACCGCTTGAGCCGTCCCTCCAGTTCATTTTTGTTGTTGTTGTTGTTGTTGTTCTGGTTAGTTTGGAAGTAGAGTCTTGCAAACTGTTTGCCTGGGCTGGCCTTGAACCATGATTCCCTTAATTTCAGCATCCCAAGTAGTTAGGTTTACAGGATGTGGGCACCAGTACCCAGCTCTGAAATTTATTTTTTTTCTACTACATTTGTAAATTATTATGTGGGCACCCATGTTCATTAGTGTGTCTGCATTTTCTTTTTCCAGTTAAGAAGCAATTATAATTAAATCTAAAAAAGTAGCATATTTTCTCCAGCTTTAATACTGAATTTCAAAACAATTGTTGGGTATTTTTGAGCTATTTTTTGTATGTGGTCATTCTTTGAAAACAACTTTGTACTTATGTATCCAAGTCTCCATCTGGGGACCTCAGTAGATTCAAGGACTCAGATAAGGGACCTAGTGTGAGAATAAGGCTGAAGTAATAAGGAAGGTTAATTCACCTGATTGCCACAGCTCAGCTTTTAACTTTGTTAAATTGCTTATCATTGCTTTAGAAGCAGTAATTTTGAATAAGTTCAGTAAAAAATCTATCATTTGATCACAATTCAAAATATTAAGAAGCAGGAGGGAATTTTGTCCTTTATTATTATACACTGAAACTAAGGAAAAGAGGGACCTTAGTCTGTATAAACTATAATTCAGTAGTGTAGCTCAAGTTCATATTCAATTTACCTTTAATATATATATATGTATATATATATATATATATATATATATATATATATACACACACACACACACACACATACATAAAGAAAACAAAACATGAATAAGTACTATTATTTCCTTAAATTAGAATACAGGAAATTAGTTATCAGTTGCTGTAGTCTATCTTAAAGAATACCTCCTGTAGATAGCGCTAAATAATATGCAATTAGAAAAAGACTGATTAGGAGCTTAAGTCAGTAATTTATTAACCCTGTGTTTTTGTTCCCAGCACTTACTGTACTCTAAGAGAACTTAGTTTTATATTCACAAAGAATTTATTTTTAATGTGTTTCAAAATTTAAGTTGAAACTTATCAGAAATACCTATAAATTCCTTTAACTGCAGTAGCAGTGAGAAATCGGAGTGTAGCCATCTTACTTGTCTGAGTAATGCTTCATTGTATACAGTGTTTGAAGCAGGCAGACCTATACTTTTAAAGTTAGTATTTCTGGACCATAGAGGGAGGGAGAATCTGCTTGATCCATGATAAAACCTTTTATAAATCATCAAGAGTTGACTGTTAATACTTGTCAATTGAAATTGCTATTGAAACAGTTTTTAAGAAATACACTTTTACCTAAAATAAAAACTAAAAATTAAAGAAATTAAAGCCCTATTATTTCTTTAGCATTTAAACATATATTTGTTTCATCAAAAATTCTATATAGTATCATTCTGTTATGGAGAATATGTTATGGAAATCTTAATTATTATTTATAGGAATAGATGATGAAATGAGTTCTCTAATGAATCACTGAATGAGGAGAAGGTCTGTAAATTAGTAAACTGGAGGAACTCTCATCTCTACTTTTTTGTTTTTCTCAGAACTAGGGGTTGAACTCAGGGCTCATGCTTTCTAGTCAGGTGTTCACTGCTTGAGCAACACCCCCACCCCTTTTTACTTTAGTTATTTTTCAAGTCGGATCTTGTGGTTTTTGTCCTGGGCTGGCCTCAAATTGCAATTCTACCTGTGATCCTCCCATGTAGTTGGGACCACAGGTATATGTCACCACGCCTGGTTTACTGTTTGGGCTTGGAGGGAGGGTGTCTTACTAAATTTTTGCCAGGACTGGCCTTGAACTGTAATCCTCCCAATCTCCACCTCCCAAGTAGCTGGGAATACAAGCACAAGCCAGTGTTCCTAGCCATCATCCCTACATTTTTATTCCATTTGCCAGATCTCTTCATTGAAGTAATTTAGACTCCTTTCAATTAGATTTTTCAAGTAAGAATGTCTGAACTGGGAAAAGACTAAGAATTTAAAGAGTAATATTTAATTGCTAGGCAAAATTATAAAGCTCTAAGTAATCTGTTCTAGACTACAAAGTACATACCATTTAAGGTCTTTAGTAATATAGGACTAATATATTAAGAGAGTAATCAAGAGAATGCATTAGTACATAAAGTAATTCTTTACAAAGAATTCATTATGATAGCCATAGTTGTAATGAGACTTTCACAAACAGTTTTGTTATATAGAATCCTTCTTTGTGATAGTTTCTGTAGGAATGAGGTTTTTACCTGAGCCTGTAATGAAATTCTGAAGGATTCAAAGGCCATATGAAACCTCAAAGCAGTTACTAATTTATAAATAAGACAAGAAGCTTTGATGCAGGTCCAGAAGGCTATAAAACTCAGTCATAAGAAGAGAAATGGACTATTCTCCAAATACAGACAATAAATTGTAACTGGTAATAGAATTTTCATTTTGTAAGTGCATCCTTTAGGATTTAAGAGATTTCTATGGACTTAAGCATGTGTATCCCTGCTTCATATTACTGCCTAAGTTAACATTATAAAATTAACAGTAGATAGAGCAAAACCGTTTGTGTAATTAGTCTACAGACTCTGATCACTCTTGTATTCTGTATTCTCTTATTCTTAACATGCTACTTATGTTTAATTTTTACTTGAAGATATGTTGCTTATTTCCATTGATCAGTATTTTCAAAGTGTATTCTCTGGGATGTTTCGTGAAATAATCTAAGTAAAGGGGCAGCTGTTCACTGTACATTAGAATATTAATAGCTTTGCAAAATTGCACAATAAAGTGATCTAGTTGTTTTCCAGAATTTCACAAATCAATTACACCATGAAATAAACCTCTTCAAAATGTAATGTGCTTGTGAATGTTATTTAGGGAAACTTATCATGGGGTTTTCCCATCAGATAAACTAAAAGACATTTCAGCTCTTAAGGATCTAAGGTTTTTTTCCCCGAACTACATGTTTTGTTTTGATTTTTTTTCTTTTGGGAATTGCTATTAATTCCAGGTGTCAGTCTGGACTTGGTAATTCTTGACTTGGCAATAATTGCATAAAATTGGGACATCCAGAGGCAGCAAAACCCTAAAATATCTGTGACAATTGGAAATTAGTCATAATTTATCTATAAGTGGAGTGGCTTTTTTTTTTTTTTTTTTTTTGGTAGGATTGGGGTTTGAATTCAGGGCTCTGCTCTGCACTTACAAAGGCACTCCACCACTTGAGCTGTGCTTCCAGTCCCAGTAGACTGGTTTCTGAAAGCTCATTAGAGAAGATAGAAGTCTGATATTCTTCTTGTGTTCTTGCTCAGTAGCTTACTAGTTGTATGGCCAGAGACAAGTTATTACTTCACCTTCTTGAATGCTGGTTTCCTTATTTATGGAAATTCTTATTTCACTGGGTAATACTGTCAACCAAAATAATGTATGTAAAAGTAAGGTAAAGGACATAAATATTGAGTACTATCATCATTTAGATTTTTCTTCTTGTCCTGCAGTTTTTGTTTTGTTTTGCTGGGCTGGGGATCAAATCCAGGGCCTTGCACATGCTAGGCAAGTGCTTTACCACTGAACTACACCCCCAACCCCCTGCGGATACTATAAACTTAACATTTTACTCCATCTCTCACCATATCTGCCCTCCACCCAGTACTTTTTCCTCACCAGAAGCCTTCACATCCTTGATTCTTCTTTGTCCCTTATTAGCAGGTCCTCATGATTTAACTCCAGAAATGACTCTGGAATCCAGCCTGTTTTATCTGCTCTGACTCTCCTTAATGTACCCTTTAGTATCTTTGCCTGGATATGGTAGCACACTCCTCATAGATTTCTATACCACCTAGAACTCCCAGACTGAAAAGTGCACCTGGTCCCCTTTCATCTGTATCATGACATCTAACATGTAGCTTCACTGTGGCAATCTCTCCAGTTTCATCTCTCAGTACTTTATGGCGCACACTTATAATTCCAGCACTTGGGAAGCTGAGTCATGAGGATAACAAGTTTGAGGCCAGCTTGGGCTACAGAGAGATCCTAGCTCAAAAAAAAAAATTTTTTTTTTAAAGAGATCTATTGTATATTATGGTGACTATAGTTAAGAGAGTAGATCTTAGATTAAAATAAAGGTATGGCTCAAGTGCCTGCCTAGCAAGCACAAGGCCCTGACTTCAAACCTCAGTACTGCAAGAAAAAAAGAGTAAATTCTAAGGTTCTCACCAGAGAAAATGAGTATATTTGGTAATACATATGTTAAATATCTTGCTTTGGTATACTATACATATCATGTTGTATACCATAAACATATATAATTTTTACTTGTCAACCAAAAAAATTAACAAAAATTAGTATAGGACTTTAATGCTACTCAGACTAAAAAAATATCTCTTTTAACCAAGTCAGCAATCAAGACTTTGAGCCCTTTTAATTAATTTAAAAAGTTACTATTTTATGAAGTTAATAAAACTTCCTTTATGCAGTTTTGAAAACCATATTGTTCCAATAATGTAACTTTTCTATATGAAGTTTAATTTGCCTTATTCAACAAATTTAGGCTCATTTCTTGGGACTAAAAAAATCTGTTGACCAAGATTTTGGAGGTTAACAAATCAGTACAATTTAACAAAAACTTAGACTTTTTCTCTGTTTCTGAGGCATGATTTTTTAATTCCCAAGGTAAACCCACACAAACATTAGAAAAAAAAATCATACAGGATGACTTTGAGCTAGTTAACTTCCTGGAGAGTTACCCTGGTCTCTTCTTAGTATGTTGGGTCCATGTAACCTAGGAAAAAGTAAGCTTATTCTAAAAATTACATTGAAATCTATATTATCATTATTTGTATACTAATATGTCTTAGTTTCTATGGCTGACATAGCAAAATATCAAAAACTCAGTGGCTGAAAATAACAAATTTCTTTCATGTTTCTGGAGGCTATAAGTCTAAGTAAGGATGTGGGCAAGGCTACCTCTTTTGAAGAGTATAGGGAAGAATCCAGCTGTCTCTTCCTGGCAGCATCTGTAATCCATGGTGTTCCTTGGTTTATAAATGCCACCACTCCAATCTTTGCCTCCATCTTCACATCAAGTTCTTCAAACTCCACATTCTTTGTCTACATCCAGATCTCCTTTCCTTTCTTTAAGATATGAGGTCAGTGGAATTAGGGCTCACCCTAACCCAGTATGACCTCATCTCAACTTGATTAAATCTACAAAGATCCTATTTGTAAGTAGGTTTTTCAGATAATTTCAATTATTTGGGTACACTGTAGTAAAAAGGTCTTTGAACTGATAGTTACATATCTTGCATCTGGTCTTACCTGCCTGTGCAGTCAAGTAAATGGTAGTCATTTTATGTAACGTCATATTGGAGAAAGTTTGTTTCTAAAGATAAATTACGAATTTATCAACAAAGGAAAGTCATTCTGTGTTTATTGATTAACGGAACTCATAAAATTATGCATCAGGTACAATATTTATTTTATAAGTAAAACAATCTTGAGTTTTATTCTTTGCCTGAACACCACTATGAATGTCATTTTCCTTTTGTAGCTTCTTAACTTTAATGCCATTTATCTCCCAAGATTTCCTGGAGGTGCCATATTCAATACTGCCCCTCTACTTATTTGTAAGTGGCCAAAAAAGGGAGGCAATGGTAAAAGTGGCTCCTTTCTTGTGAAAATAGAAACTTTATCATCTCTATAGAGCATATGAGTTTTTATTGTGCTTTACAGTATGAGTCCTCACACATGGTTAAATACAATCTCGTATATAGCACCATAATTTTAGGATTTGGTAATTTTTAAAACTATTTAAAATGAACTGCAATTATAAAGTGAAGTTGCTGTTATTGCACACTGTTATTAAAAGGCACCCATGAGGAGCATAGCATTGATTGAAGAGGATGCTGCTCTGTGGAGTCTCACTTACATACTAATCACTACTGCTCTGTTTCTGTTCTACAATAAAACACCTCTTCCATGTTAGTTAGTTTGAGTTATTCTGCACCAGTGCCCAGCTTAAACCAGCTGATAAGAAAAGAATGCTTATAAGAAAGGTCATTTATTACACCAGATAATAATAGATTGCTTAGTGCTATGAAGGTAAAAGTAACATTTAAAAATTATATCATCAGAAAAGTTTTATGAGTTGGAAATAACTTTGGGTTTGTGGTTTAAAAAATACTAACAATATCTTTGTATATTCCATATAGAAAATGCTACTGTTAAATGACTAAGAAACTTGAAATGTTTTTAGAAGAGAAAATCAAATGCATGTCTAAACATTTTTCTTTTATATTAGAATTTTGTATAACATTAGGTATGTTTGCCTACATTCATAATATAAAAAATACTAAGGACAAAATATCAAGGGCTTAATATTCTCCTGCCAGACAGATCTTGTTACATATCTTACTGACTGAATTCTCTGGGCTTTACTTTCAAGTGGTTGAATTCTCAACTCAGTGAGATACCTTATTCTTCAGTGGTGCTTTTATTAAATTGCTTTTTAAAAATAAAAATATATATATATATATAGCTTTCAATGTTAGTTTGTCTAAACTTGATAATGGTAACATTTTGTATCCCAAAATTCTGCCATGTGAGAAGCTAAGTGTTTAGAATGCTGGGATGGAAAATACTAGAATCCAGCCTTTGGCCTACAGTAATGTCCACCAAGTACAAACCTAGTGTCTTTATGTACAGCTGGCCATAAAAGTGAAGAGCAACATTACAAGTAAAAGGTCTATTTGAGCTTTTTTTGTTTTTTGGTGTGTGTATACATGCGTGCGAGTATTTTTTTTTTTGAGGGCGGGATAGTACTGGTGTTTGAACTCAGAGCCTCACACTTGGTAGGCAGACACTCTACCACTTGAGCATACCTCCAGCCCCTTTTGCTTTAGTTATTTTTTGAATAGGGGCTCAGGTTTATTCCTGGACTTCAATTCTCCTATTTACGTTTCCCTTGTAGCTGGATTGATAGGCAGGTACAACACCCAGCTTTTATTGGTTGAGATGGGGTCTTGTGAACTTTTTGCCTGGCCTAGCCTAGCATCATGATCCTCCTGATCTCCTCTTCTCAAGGGGCTGGGATTACAGGCATGAAGACCATGCTCAGCGATTAATGTGTGTATTTTTTGCTTTTTTTTTTTGGCAGACTAAGGTTTGAACTCAGAGCCTTGCACTTGCTAAGCAGGCAGGTGCTCTTACGTCGAGCCATTCTACCAGTCCCTAATGTGTATATAAAGTAAACTTTACAATTACTTTGACTATTTCGTGGTTTTATTTTTTGAGTCTTTTCCTTTAAGAGAGAAAGTAGGTTTTCTTCAACACTTGCATGGAAGTTCCATTGATAAAATGGTATTTCCTAACTTTCCCTTTTTAGCAGCCAAAAGCAGGCTTGGGTTACTGAACTACCTTCACTTACTGTCACTCACCCTTCTGTTAAACCACTTGCTTGAGGTAAAGCTGCCTTGACGTAATTACCACTAGTAAGTTAACAATGACTTACTTCTTCCTCAGAGCAGCTTTATGGCTAGCATACAGATAATTTGCCACTAATAGAAAATGCACTTGAGGTTCATAATTGTGTGGATTCCTAGCTTTATTCAGTAACTTAACATGTGGATACTGACAGAATTCTTCATGACAGTAATGCTGTTAATTCTGTAGAACTACAAAGGTAACAATGTACACTTATATTGTGTGTTACTGTTTGCAAAGTACTTTGATTTTTTAATATCAATCCTAAAAGTAGGCATGGCAGGCTTTTTATAAGTATCATTTGGAAGAAGAAAAGTGAGGCTCAGAGATGGAGAAATTTGCCTCATGGTCACACAGAAGTAGAGTCAAAACTTGGTCCTAGGAACTAGGTGTGATGATACACACCTCAAGTCCAAGTTGTAAGGAGGCAGGACAATCACTTGAGTTCAAGACTTTGAGACCAGCCTAGGCAACATAGTGAGACCTCATCTCCAAAAAAAAAAAAAATGTTTTGATTATTTATTTATAGTTAGTCTTGAGGTTTGGTCTCAGGACCTGTGCCTGCTATGTAGGCACTCCACTTGCCATGCCCCCAGTCCTGTTTTGCTTTAGTTAATCATTCAGATATTCTCGTATTTTTGTCCAGACCAGCCTCAGACTGTGATCCTCCTACTACACCTCCAACATAGCTGGGATCACAGGTGCAGGCCACCACACCTGGCTTATTGTTAAAGATGGATCTTACCAACTTTTTGCCTGGACTGGCCTTTAACTGTGATCCTTCTCATCTCTGAAGAAAAAAAAATGGTGGTACTGGGTTTTGAACTCCAAAAAAATTTTTTGATCATCTTTGTGTTTGAGGTTCCTCTCTTCTATATTGCAGCCTCCTCTACTGTTTTTTTTTTTTTTTAGTATTATCATAATACCCCATAATGGAAACTCATATGGGATCAGAAACCTACACTTAAAAAAAAAAAACCTTACATATGTTCCTAGTGCTGTGCTGAGTCCTGTGATACTTAAAAAGACAGATTATATCCCTTGTTTCTTTTCAGTAGTATTCACATTGAGAAATGGCACATTATTGCTTGTCACAAGGTACATCCTGTCTTTTAAACGTTTTTCCTGTTCTTTTTTAATGTGGAAAACTTGGTCACATGTTCCTACAGGTAGTAATTCACAAATGAAAAAAACCCACTTTTTAAAAGAATACATTTTGTGAAACATTTAAAATTATTGTTGTAGAAAGAAGTGAATGAATGTCATTTTTATCCTTAATGGCCTTATTGTTTTGTTCAAAACTGTTCTATGGGTTCAAATTGTCCTTTTGGTTTTTATAGCAGTTAGAAGAAAAGAGTGAAGATCAAGAAGACAAGGAATGTTTGAAACAAGCAATAACAGCTTTGCTTAATGTTCAAAGTGGTATGGAAAAAATATGTTCTAAAAGTCTTGCAAAGCGAAGATTGAGGTGAATATTCTCCCTTTTAAAAACGTCCTCCTTTACACTCTGAATATTGTGGTATAAATTCAGGGATCCCAGTTCCCTCCTCAAGTAAACAATGAAGAAAATAGTTTTAGTGACAAGCTTGGTCTTTCAGAGGAAGTGACATCAAAGCCAAGAGAGTTTGTTATTGTTTGAAACCTTTCATATTTGTGCATTTTCCTTGCACACTCCCAGACAAGACCTCCTGAGAATCAACTGGTAAGCTAAAGGAGAGATAGAGCAAAATGTACTGGCTACATTTATGTAAGCATCTGTCAAAATAAAATTAGTACTGTCCTTTATTTTAGGGACTATATAACTCAAGGCATTAATTCAAATAACACTGCTTCCTTTTTCCTAATTATAGTATGTGCTACATGTTTTTAGCTTTGGGTCTTATCCATTTAAACACTTCTCAGTAATTTATTTTAGTCTCTTAAATTACTTTTTTCACTATATTGGGCTACTTTTTAATATGTGTCAGTAGCCAAGATAGAAATAATCATTCTGTGGTTGAATTTTGTTAGTACTCATTATTCTTTTTAGAGCAGTGAAAAAAATTTCTGTGTTGCTTTAATTTCCAAAATTATGTAACTGTGTAACCCTAATAAATTTGGGGAATTAGTGAACACCTTAATCAGTGTGATTTTTTAAAAAGTACTTTTATCCTTTCCCTTATTTGCATGAACTCTAGATTCTCTGTTATTGTGCACTAATCATGCCTTTTCCTTTATCCCAGTGAATCTGCGTGTCGGTTTTATAGTCAGCAAATGAAGGGGAAACAACTAGCAATCAAGAAAATGAACGAGATTCAGAAGAATATTGATGGTTGGGAGGGAAAAGACATTGGACAATGTTGCAATGAATTTATAATGGAAGGAACTCTTACACGTGTAGGAGCCAAACATGAGAGACACATATTTCTCTTTGATGGCTTAATGATTTGCTGTAAATCAAATCACGGGCAGCCAAGACTTCCTGGTGCTAGCAACGCAGAATATCGTCTTAAAGAAAAGTTTTTTATGCGAAAGGTACAGATTAATGATAAAGATGACACCAATGAATACAAGCATGCTTTTGAAATAATTTTAAAAGATGAAAATAGTGTTATATTTTCTGCCAAGTCAGCTGAAGAGAAAAACAATTGGATGGCAGCATTGATATCTTTACAGTACCGGAGTACACTGGAAAGGATGCTTGATGTAACAATGCTCCAGGAAGAGAAGGAGGAGCAGATGAGGCTGCCTAGTGCTGATGTGTATAGATTTGCAGAGCCTGACTCTGAAGAGAATATTATATTTGAAGAGAACATGCAGCCCAAAGCTGGAATTCCAATTATCAAAGCAGGAACTGTTATTAAACTTATAGAGAGGCTTACATACCATATGTATGCAGGTAAGAAATATAAAGTTGCTTATTACTTTGTTTTCCTGTTTCAAGCTGATTGTCTTTGCTGTGAAGGTTACTGTGCCTAAAATTGAAAACTAACAACAAGCAAAGACCTGTATCATCAGAGTTCATTTTCTTTGACTAAAACCACCACTTTGTATTTCTTTGAGATTTTATACTTTTTCTTCTACATTTACATACATTGTTTTAAACAGATGAGAAAAGGAAGTTACTTGGCTAAATTTACCCAGTTACAAAGCAACAGGAACAAAACTAAAAGTCATCATTAGTGTCTCAAAAGTATTTTACCCCTTCATTTGTTTTTTTCTTTTTCCATTACTGAGATTATAAAGTAAGTATAAATTTTAACATGCATCCATCACCAAAACTGCATTGGGAATAAAAATGTACACAGCATTGCTTTTTCTTATTCCATTCCTGAATCTATTTAGTGATCCTTAAAGCCAATTTTCAGTAGCTTTTCTTTACATAACATTAGTTTTTACCTTAGAGCAATTTTTAGAGACAAAACAAACCTGTCTGAACAACCTAGGATGATTTCTATAGGCAGTATCAAATATAATAGTTAAGAGATAAGGAACATACACAGGTAGTTTTAAGTAACTTACTTTCTTCTAATAAAGCAACACGATCATCTGTTCTTCAGCCTTCAGTTCTCTATGTAGCAGGAGAAGATTGATAATTACAAGATTTCATAGAGTATGGTGGGATGGAAATAGCCCTGAAGTTAGACTTTGTACCTTCATTTAGTCAGAGTTCCTTAATGTCTCAGAACCCTAGTTTTTCACCTAAAAAATCAACATCAAATAGCTACTTCAGAATGTTATTGAAAAGAATAAATGAATACTAGATGTGAAAGCTCTTTACAGATATAAATGCAAACCTATTTTCAGAGAATCTTTTTATTAAAAAAGCATGTAAGTGATTCAAAATCAAATGTGACTCTTTAACAAATGATATTCTTAAATAGTTGAATGTGAAAATTAACCTCTATCCCTATACTTCTCATTTAAATATATTCCTATTTCTAGGAAATGTGTGTTTCTAGAAATTTTTTCTTCCATTTTTAAAGTCTTGTAAGTATACACAGTTTTCTCTGAAAACTATTCTGGCACTAGTTAAATTAACCTTTTCAATATCCCTTAATTTATCCATTTTAGTAAAGATGAATGGGATTAACAAAGTTTTTTGGTTCAGTTTGTTAAATAAACTATTTTATGTCTGGGAACTCTCAGGGCCACCTTGCAAAGTGAAATTAAAACTATTTTTATCAATAATCTTAAGCTACTTTATAGTTATCTGTTCATTATCTCTACATACCTCTGGGATAAGTAAGTGTTTGTTTTGGTTTTGATTTTATTTTATTTAACCTCTAACTGGTAGTTTTTTGCTAGCCTTTTCCACATAAAACAATAACACTTTCCATAGGCTAGTTTCTTTACAAGCAGTTTGGATTCACTAAGCACAGGCCAATTCAGTAGTTGCTGAGATGTATATTGAATGTAGTAAGAGAAAACTAGTCTGAGATTCAATTTTATTATAATTTTTTACCTAGAAACTTTTGTAGTGTGTTGTTTATTTTACTGACCCAAAAATAAAAAAAAATTAAAACACAGAAAATCTAAGCTGCTTAATATTTACATGAAAAATAGGTTATTTTTTATATATAAAACAGTTTTTAAGAGGTACAATTTTCAATAACTATTTGTAACCTATTTAGTTGATTTTCATCAACCTAAATTACCTAAAATTTATGTTCTCAAAATACTTATTTCTGTGCTACTTCTTAAAGTAATTTTAAAGTTATAAAAGTTCATGTTGCTCTTCTTGCCAGATTACCCTGCTTTTTAAGTCCTTAAAGGATTCACAGAATTTTTATAACATAAGCATTTTAAACTAAACACCTTTTTTTGGGGGGCGGTGACTAGTTAGACTAGTTAGAATAAAAGTAATCTTTAAATTTTTATGTTTGTAAAGACAGAGTTTTAATTTTTTTTGTCCTGTAGAGCCCTGTATGTGGCAACCACTAAAGAATTACTTGTGTGAAAAGTCAGAGAAACTTGTTTCTTGTCAAAGGTCAGAACAAGTTGCTCTCTTTACTGTCACAAGTCGGTGGTGTTTGGGTTGGAAAATACTTTTAAATTCTAAAATTCTTAATCTAATTATTTTTGTAAAACTTGTTAATTATAAAAAAATTCTTTAAACTGCTGTAGTTCACAAAATTAATTTATGATTATTAATAAGCAGTTGCAGACTGCAATTAAATATTTCTGGGAATGTGCTTTTATTTTTTGAATAAGTACGCTTTAAAGCAAACTTAATTTGAACAAGCTGATAGTTACATCATCTTGGTAGTCTTCATTCCCAAATGTACACAATGTTAGGTTTTGGCATGGTGTTCTGACTTTCTTTTGATAATTGTTCTCTTAATCTCAACTTTAAGTTTTTGAGTAGAATAGTAGGTCAAAGATGATATTACTGATGTAACTGGGATACGTCATAAGTTGTGGTTTGCAGTGCATGCAAATTAGTGTTAATTATTACTTTCTTTGAGCCATTCTGTAAGACCTATTTACTGACCTTATTATGGCAATATAGAATATTTTAATAGATCTATGAACTTGTAAGACACGAAAGCAGTTAATTTTAAGAACTGTGAGTCTCCCCTACAGTGGTAACAGATCCAGTTATCATTTGTCTTAACTACTGTTCTACCCTTTTCTTGCCTTCTTCAACCTTCAAAAATAAAAAAAAGGATTTTTGATTTGGTTTGGTTTTGTAAGTGTTTTTATTGGAAAACATACAGTACAGGTTATGGCTTACACTGCAATGAAAGCTAACATTTAACTTGCACATTTTTATTATATTGAAGTATAATAAAAGATATATATATATAATTCATGAGAAAATCTAATAATTAATGATATACAATACCACTTATAGACATCTCTTAGATTTTTATAGGTTGATCAGACATTATATGTTAAAAAAAAAAAAATACAAAAACCACCCAGGAGAGAATCTAGCTTAACCTTGCTTACTGCAGATTTAACTGTGGCTTCAGCCAGCTTGTTTCCTCAAACCTTTTAACAATAATTTATAGCTCACTAATACTAGAAGAGGTGTACAACCCCTCACTTTATAGAGAAAAGCCCAAAGTCCCAGAAGGTTATATGATTTGCTAGAAATTATATCATCAATTAATTACAGGATGATGTATAGAAATTAGCTTTGTTTCCTCAACACAGTGTACTTTCACCATATTACACTAACTCATTCAAGGTAAATTTTTTCATTATTAGACTATGATATAGCTTTTCAAAAGTTATATGTGGTGAATAATAAAAATAAATGGAATTGCATTGTATGAATTGCTAATATAAATGCTTGTTATTTCAGGGCAGACAGGTATACTACGAAGATATAGTCAGTAATTTTTTTTATTGAAATGGATATTGGAGTTCTGACTATAGATAAACTGCCATTTTAATGCATATATTTTTTGTGTGTAGTTAGATCTTGTTCATTATTTTATTTTTAAATTAAACATTTTTTATGGTGATGGGGATGGAGCCCTGGGCATTGTTCATGCTGATTTGTACCCCCAACCCTATCATGTTATTTTACTTTATTTTATTTATTGAGACAGGGTTTGTATCCCAAGCTGGTCTTGAACTCAGGATACTCCTGCCTCAGCCTCCCTAGGTGTGTACCACCACAACTAGCTCATTTTGTGTTTGGACATAATCCAGTCATTAGTCTATTAGTGTAGCTTGTTCTATAAAAGGAAAGCTTTGTGGAAAAAAATTAAATTTAGTCTAAGTGAATAACTTGTGTAAAGGATTACAAGAGGATCATATATGGAATCTAACTTACAGCTTGTCTTTCAGCTCCAGTGTTTCTGGACACACAGTAATTCACTGACTATATCAGAGCTTTGGGATTCATCTCAAATGCTATGGGAAAAATTACCCACAAGGGTGGATCATTCTAAATCTGGCAATGAAGTGAAGAGACTATTTCCTTTCCTATTTGAAGCAATCACAAAGCAATGCACATAGGGAAAAGGAGTTGAGACTCCTTTCAAACTCATTTCATAGAGTTGTTGTAAGCAATAAAATACAGATTAATTATTGAGACCTAAAACATAAGTAGAGAAATAGTTGTTGGTGCAATATGCAGTTTGGTAGTCTATTTTTTAAAAATGAGATGATTGTTTGGTAAGGATAGTAATTCAGAACTGACGTTATATGGAAATAAAAGCTTTTCATATTGAAGTGTGGGAAAAAGTGTTTCCCTTGATGGCAACCTTGTCTTTTATACAAAGGTGGAATTGAAAAAACTTAAACCAGAAGACATTTTTTAATTAACATACTTACTGCTATTTTATGTATTTATCTATAAAATGCTAAAAACATGCATTAAATTTATGCTTGAGTTTGTATCTTATGTAAGTTCAGTTTGAGTGTTTAACTTTTGCAGGTCTTTGAACAATTTTTTATCTATAGGGCAGTTCTGTTCTATTTTTAAACTCTCTGATTTTTTTAAGTGTTTGTGCGTCAGCACAGCGTCTGTTTCCTTTTTTAAGGAATTCAAGAGTGATTGTTTATAAATCCTTACTGAGGAGCTTATTGTTTCTTGTAGTAGCTTTCAAATGGCTATATTAAAGGGAGTATTATCACATGAACAGACATCCTGATTAACAGTGTTTCACTATAGTGTATGGGGCGGGTGTTGTATACCTATGTAATTTTTAATGTCATAAATATTTCATAAATCTCATCAACCTTGCCATATAAACTGTAAAGTGTTACTGGATTTATCACCTCAAATCTGAAGTGCTATATTCTGAACACTAATATAGGTATATTCTGAGTTCACAGGATTTTGAAGAACTATGCAATAAAATAACAAAGCATAGTTTTATAGTGAGGGAGACAGGCAGCTAGAAGGCCAGCAGAAAACAATAGTATAACTTATGTTTGAAATAAGCTTGACCTAGTCCAAGGATTTCAGGGTAAAGCTGGCAGGTATTTGTATGGAGAAGATGTGGAGACAGAGAATCAGAAAAGGTAGTGAACATGGTAGAAGTCTTAGTGCAGAGTTTGAGAGTCAAAAAGAACAATAATGTTACCCACGATGAAGCAGAAAAAACTGCAAAGAAAATTTCTGTTGTTGTTCATATTGAAATCCATTAGGGAGTCGTATCTGAGGAAGACATTTGTTGTTGCCTTTGAAGTGGAAGTAGGTACTTTGTTTTCTTAAAAAATTATATAACCTGTTCTTGTTGATGGGTATTTTTTAAATATCAAATTAGTTTAGCCCTTTTCATCATGAGTAAGATAAAGGTCTCCAGTAGTTAGTGTGGTATGGTGGTGTAGTCACTGAAATGTAGACATCAATGTCATAGAAACACAAATAGCTTTTGGAGTATGTGTGGTTTTCTTTGTAAAAGTTCAAATACAGATGTGTTCTCTCAATATAAGTTTTCTATTCATTAACAATTTTTCATTGCTTTAGACTAAAAAAAAAATCTAAATAAATAAATACAAGCCTGAGATTAGAGGTAGCCTTTAAGATATTTTTTGAAAGTACTTCAGTTTATTTTTAGTTTCTGCCAGTTTTTTTTTTTTTTTTTTGGCAAGACTGCTCTTAACAATTTCAACAAAGCTAAGCTAAAAACATCTTAAACTTGAATCACTTTAGAACCTACTACAATTGTGAATGTTAATTTCATTGCCAGCTCCCAAAGCTCTTCTGAATACAGTGTACAGGAAAGGTACAGCTGCTGCTTCCTAAACTCTGGAAGAAGACTTACAAAATCACAATTAGACTGCCCATTTCTCAGTGATTCCTGATACCTTTAACAAAGATTAGCAGTTAGAATTACATTCTGAATTAATCACTTATATCTATAGTGATTATGTAACTCATGGATAAATTCTATATATTTAGATCTTATAGCTAGGAAAACCTTCAAGTGATGCTGGAATAGAACACCAGGACTAGGCAAGCACTCTACCACTGAGCTACATCTCTAGCAACTAAGAGAGGCTTTAATTCAGGGAGGTAACATGATATGGTAGAAAAAGAGCACCAAATCAGGAATCCTTCCAGCTCTGCCACTCTACTGTATGACCTTAGATAAATACTAAGTGACTTCTCACCTGCCAACTCAACTCACAGAAATCATATGGAGTAAGTTAGGTGAAAGCTCTTTGAGAGCCTCAGATAAGAACCATGATGTGATCCCTTTTAACTGATGTGGCACTGAGGCACATCATGACTGTCTCAGAATTATCATCAGTTACTACAGTGTTGAAATGGCTTAAGAAGATGAAAAGTCAGTTATAAAATAGTTTTGGCTTAAGACAAAAAGTCCATCTTAAAATAGTTTGCCTTTAAAAAATAGCCATAGTCTTCTTAAAACAAACTTTAATTCACTTGGAACTTGCTTTCTTTTCAACTTAAAGGTACCTTTGATAGCCCATAACTTCTTTTTAGCCTGAATTGGCTGGCATTATAAGAAGCAGTAGTTCTAGATGTTGACTTTAGATCTTCAGACTTTTCTTTTAAGGTGTGGGGTGGCATACCCTAAATTTGGAACATAGCTCAGGTATGCTCCTAGACATCTGTATGTACTGAGGGATTGGGCACTGTCTCCAGCAGTGACAGCTGAGCATCCCTATTGTTGCCACTGCTGTTGCTTCCTAAACACATGCTGTTTTGAGTAGCCTCACCTTACAAATAGATTTGCAGAGCAGGAAGAAGATTCTTGAAAGGGAGGATAGTGATGAAACCGATAAAAATCTCTGTTTTAAAATCTTGTACAGCCTTCTGTTTTAAAATCTTTTCTTCTGGATGAGACATTAGTCTTTAACTGAGGAACTCTGTAACTGAAGACAAACAATAAAATACCAACAGAAAGGAAGTTATTAAAGGATTATATGTATTTAAATAACTTTTATCAGTAACCCATTCTAGCTTCAGAAGGTACAAAACTAAAGGAAAATGGAGCAATTAAAAACCAGTGTATTTTTCTGGGCTTGGTGCATGCCTGAAATCCTAGCATATGGGAGGCTAAGGCAGAAAGATTGCAAGTTCAAGGCCAGCTTGGGCTCAAAACAAAAACCAACAATGTATTTTTTTTCTTTAACTTTAAAAAATAGTATAGTTTTAAACTTTTTTTTTTTTTGGCAGTACTGGAGTTTGAACTTGGTCTCACGCTTGCCAGGCAGGTGCTTTACAATTTGAGCCATGCTTCCAGCCCAATATTATAGTTTTAAATTCAAAATTGTTTGACATTTAAATTGATTTATTATCTTGATGACCACATATGCCAATACATTAGATAAAGATTTCTGTTTCATGATAAATCCATAAATTTGTTTTTTGGGTAAAAAGTTACTTTGTTATAAATATTTTAAGGCTAAATTTAAGGTGGTTCTTAATCACATAGAATCAAGTAGATATTTTCCAAATACATTGTGATTTTGCTTCATATGCTAATAAAAGACATGTATTTCTTCTTAGAAAACCATGTATAACCTAACAAAAATACAAGCATTTACTATCCTCAGTGAAATTACCATTACAATTAACAGTCCAGAATGTAAATAGAAGAGGGCTATCAAGAACAACTCAATTAATGAACTGCCTCCCCTCCCTTTCTTGTCAAAGACTATTAGAACTATTTGTGGACCTTGGTAAAATTTGAATTACAGAAGTGAGTAATTTTTTTTTTCCAGTATAGGAAGATGTCTTTCCCCTCTTTATGCAGATGATGACAGCCCAGGTCTCCTGTGCTGATGACAGCAACCTTTCTCCACAACTTGGGAGAATACTGTTAAGGAAAGATGGGAGTAGGCCAGGCCTAAGTTACTGATCTCACTCAGTGAGCCTCCTATTTTACTTCATGGAGATGTGAATGAAAAGTAGGTCCTTTCATGGAAAGGGTCAGAGACTCCTGCTCTTATAATTGAACTCTCATTGTAACTACTTGAAATGAAAACAATTAAAAGCTAGAAATAGGACCAAAACAACAATTTGTACAATTCTAGTACATATTTAATCATTTTAATAGCTTGTAGGTATTTGTAAGCATGTTGCAGTAGTTTTAAATAAGGCCTCTGGCAATTTTTTTAATTTAGAAATTGCATTTAGCTTAATCTACTACTTTATAAGATTCAATAGTTTCTAGTTGTATGCTCTGTTAACATGATTTAAATAAAGTTAGATAATGAATTTAGATAAACTAATCTGGATATCAGGAAATCAATGTTATTGCCGCTGCCTTTCTCATTACCAGGGAGATAAACCAACCGGTGATGCTCTGAGATCCAGTTAGCAGGTGTAAGTCTGATTCAGTGCTCTGCCTTTGCCTTTCTTCCTTGTGCATTCTCATGACCAACGGTCAAAGTATGCAGAGGGCAAGAAATAAGCTGACATAAAATTTTAGTATCATTATTTTACTACCACTGATTTTTGAAGCACTAAAGCTAGCAGTACATTACAAAGTCCAAAGCATTCTACCCACAAAAGAATTTGGAAACCTATTTGATCTCTTTTGAAAATGTATAGTTTTAATCATCATAAATTAAAGACTTTAATAAGATATCTTTCCTTTTTCTTCTTAGATCCCAATTTTGTTCGGACCTTTCTCACAACATACAGATCGTTTTGCAAACCTCAAGAACTACTGAGTCTTATAATAGAAAGGTCTGTCAATTTTTAATAAATTATTTTTTCAAGATATCAAACAAAGATCTTGTATGATCTGATCTCAGAAATATGTTGGATGAGCTTTATAGTTTGTGAGCACTTTTTAAAATAAAACTGTTTATGTTACAATAATATGTTAGCTTTGATTATTTAAAAATAGGTGTTTTGCATGGAATCTTAGTATTTAAAACTTCAAATTTATGGAATTAATAAGGAATTATGTAGAAGTTTATAACTTAGAGTCTGGAAACTCAATTTCTGATGATTCAGATGTCCTAAGCAAAACTTTCCAAATATACTGTATACCGAGTAAAATGGAACTTGTCAGCAAATAAATACTATAATCAAGGAAAGTGTTTCATCCACCTAAAAATCTATCTTTCAAGCATTGGTTCCCCTTAAAAATTATGTCAGCTGATTTAGAGTAATTCTGACCCAAATGAACATCAGTCCCATATCTTTATGGTCATATTTACTTTTAGATTTTGCATGTATTTTCATTATGTTTCTAGTTAGTTTTACCTATGTTGACAAGTACTAACTTCTTTTTTCAAATATTATCATTAGTCTTTATATTATAAAAGCCTCACTGGTTTTTAATAAGGAGATATATGTATATATATTTTATACTGTAATTTTTTACAGTATTCTCTTGATCATGCTGACAAGCAAAAAGGCTCATGGATTTCTTTTTGTATAATTTGATATAATTAATATTTTCATTAATTTGTTTTGTTAGATTTGAAATTCCAGAGCCTGAGCCAACAGAGGCTGATCGCATGGCGATCGAGAATGGAGACCAACCCTTGAGTGCAGAACTGAAAAGGTTTAGAAAAGAATATATACAGCCCGTACAACTGCGGTAAGCATAAATGATTGAGGTAAACAAGTCTTTATCAAACTTCTGTTTTAAAACTGAAGGAGAAAACAAGTAAAATGAGTAAATACAGTAAGAGCAGTTATTAGAAATCATTGTGTACATCTTACCATAGAATTTTGAAAGTGTTAAGCCACTGAGATTATTATTTAATTTGGTAAAATTTATTCTGTTTTCATTTGTACCTTTCATTGTGATAAACATTTGTTTGGGTTTCCATGTAATTGAATTCTGTGTTAATGCCATAGAGTATTAAATGTGTGTCGGCACTGGGTTGAGCACCACTTTTATGATTTTGAAAGAGATGCAGATCTTTTGCAACGAATGGAGGAATTTATTGGAACAGTAAGAGGTATGTTTTTTTAATAAGTGCCTAGTTTCATGTGTACTGAAAGTTACTGTCAACCGATGCCATTATAGATCAGTGTTATTTAGAGATGTTTATGATTGTGCCAGCACAACCATTTGAAAAAGTTACAAATTTTCATCAAACAACATTTAGACATATACATTACTCAGTAATCATCCCACTGACTCAATGTATTTTCACTTAGTGAATCAACTTACTTAATTTAGAGCTGGTTAGAAAAGTCTCAATGTGAGCTAAGTTAGTTATCTAAAAGTATCTGAGGACATGTAGGAATTGTGCCATTATGACACTACTTATGAAAGTCACAAGGGCCTCAAGCAAATAGAATCAATGAGGTAAGAGCTTATTATTCTGACATTCTATTTTTAACAATGCCACTAACCAGGATACATGACTTTGGGCAAATCACTTTGATACTTTTTTTTTCATTACTGGGGTTTGAACTCAGGGCCTTCTGCTTGCCAGACAGGTGCTCTACCACTTTAGCCATGCCCCCAGACCTTTTTGATTTAAATAGTTTTAGAATAGGGTCTTACACTTAAATCCAGGCCAGCTTGGACTGCAGTCCTCCTACTTATGCTTCCCACAGAGCTGGGATGACAGGTGCACACCACCATACCCAGCTTTTATTAGTTGTGATGTGGTCTCGTGAACTTTTTGACAGGACTGGCCTGAAACCTTGATCCTCCCTCTCTACCTCCTGAGTATCCAGGACTACAGGTGTGAGTCACAGTTCCTGGCTGTTTAGTTTTATTATAAGAAACAAGAGGAGCTAGACTTGATGGTTTGCAAGATTTCCCTTCTAGTTTTAAAAATTCTGAATGTGGCTCCAAAGATGTCCTAAACAAACTTATTTTTATTTTTGTTGTATACTCTAAATGAAAATCAGAAAATAAAGGGTTAAATGTTGTACTTTTGTGTGTAATTCAAAATTGAGCCACATCAAAACTCAGACTAAAATGAGGAAACTGTCCTATGATACTAGTTTATAAAAATTCAGTGTTAATTAGATTAGTAGTGGAGTATATAATCTATCCTTATCAATCTTCCAGTTTTTGTGGAATACAACTTTTGGGAGAAAGCATTTAAAATAATTTTTTGAACAAAAGTTTAGAAAACTTTCGTTTTTCCAAACGAAAAATGTATAGATTTCTATACATTTCTTTCTAGTTTTTTTTAGAAAGGATCTAGAAGAATATGTACCAAATTATTAACAATGCTTATCCATGTGGAGAAGAATAAGAGAGGGGGACTGGGAAATGGAAAAAGGATCTTTCAACTTCTATTTTTGTTATTTGAACTTAATAGCAACAACAGATTCAGGTGTCACTTGTGTAATTTTAACTGTTTTAAAAATAAAATATTTAATAAAGTGTTGAAATTTTTTTAATGTAATATATTTCAGGTAAAGCAATGAAAAAATGGGTTGAATCAATTACTAAGATTATTCAAAGGAAAAAAATTGCAAGAGACAATGGACCAGGTCATAATCTCACATTTCAGAGTTCACCTCCCGCTGTCGAGTGGCATATAAGCAGACCTGGACACATAGAGACTTTTGACTTGCTCACTTTACACCCAATAGAAATTGCTCGACAACTCACTTTACTTGAATCAGACTTATACCGGTATGTGATTTGACATTCAAGCTGAAAAATCATTTCGAAGAGTTAATTTTTAAAATTCAATACTGTTTCTCCTTTATTCTCATAAAATGTAAATGAGATAGTACATGAAATATTTAGTAGTAGTAAGGCCTGGCAGGCAGTTCTGGTTCTTTTGCTCCCTTGCCCCACCTTGTTCTGCTTGAATTTATGTTGTCTTTCTTTCTGCACACACCCCTAACTGGTGAAGCTAGTTTCAAATCCTGACTTAACCAACTGCTGGCTTAGTATCCTGGGGCAACTTTAACCTCCTGGTGTAACTTTTATCCTCTGCTTCTTAATTTCCTCAAGAGTGAATAAGGCTAAAGATTGTACTAGCTTTTGGGGCTGTTGTGAGGTTTGAAATAGTCAACATGTATGTGATGCTGAGTCCAAAGCAAGAGCTCAATAACTGTGAGATAAATTCAAGCCATGGCTGCTTAAAGCCCTTAGCAGTAGGGCTAAGGCTATATGACTACAGTAGCCTTAGCTACTGTTAGTTTTAAATTCTATTTGACATCTCAAACAAATTCTTTTTTGATTACTAAGTGAGAAAAGCAGTTAAATTATAGATCTCCTCCCACCATTATAATTTATAATCCTCAAATTACAATGTCAGAATTGTATTTTCCAGGACTCTTGAACTAGGATTTTTCTTCCCCTCGTTTATACACACACACACACACACACACACACACAGAAAAAGAGAGAGGGAGATGAATTTTAGCAATTGCTGTACCCTCTTTGGGCTGATTAATAGGTATTATTTAAATAACTACTTTGTCACCCTAATTTATTAAATGTTATTTATAAGTGCTAAGAAAGATCTTATGCAGAAATCTCAACCCTGCCTAAAGCAAATGCTGCTGTAAAGGAGGAAATGATCACAGGTGTATCCTAAAAGTAGATAATTTAAAAAATCTATAAAGATGTTAATTATAATTTTTTGTTATATCTTGTTTTCATAAACTTTTTTTTGGTGAAAGAAGAAAGTTTATGTGGTTAAAGTTTAGTTTTTATTTATCTCACATAATAAAACGATGTCTGTATTAAAGGGAAATGACATAGTATTTTGTGTTGCTTTTAGAGCTGTGCAGCCATCAGAATTAGTTGGGAGTGTGTGGACAAAAGAAGACAAAGAAATTAATTCTCCTAATCTGCTGAAAATGATCCGACACACCACTAATCTCACTCTGTGGTTTGAAAAGTAAGTATCTTAGCATCATTGTTTCATAGCAATCAATTAAGAATTGTAGTGCAACTTTATATCTTTGTGTCACCTATCTTGTTCTTCCACTCTCATTTCTTTTGAATTGTATGAATATTTTTCTATTTTTTCATTATGTGTGTGAATTTTTTTAGATGGTTACCTTTAGGGTTTGCCATATAGTTCATGTGTGTCTGTGTGATGCTAGGGATTGAACCTAGAGCCTTGGGCATGCAAGGCAAGCCTTCAAATTTACCAGAATAAGCTCCATATTCATAGTAGCTTAATTCTAGTGTTATGTGGAAATGTTACTGCTATATGCCTCTGTTGCTTTTCTTTCCTTTTTGGGGGTATTGTAGTAACATCTAGTTAATTATTCAAATCCAGCAGTACATGGGTTACAACAATTACCTTTCCATTTGCCAGTTATCCTCTTAACCTTTTATACCTTTACTATCACCTAATCCTTTGTGCTGTTACTGGCAATGTATTACACATTACATTATAGATCAAGCAATATATTCCTACACATTATTTTATACAGTTGGTTTTTTTATCTCAGGTAAGAGAATAAATGAGGAAAAAAATATGTATTTATAATGTCTTTTAAGCTGGGTGCTGGTGGCTTGCACCTGTAATCCTAACTACTTGGGAGGCTGAGATCAGGAGGAATGTGGTTTGAGGCCAGCCCTGGAAAATAGTTTGTGAGACTCCCATCTCCATTAAATAACCAGAACAAAATGGACTGGAGTTGTGCCTCAAGTCGTAGGGCACCTGCTTTGCAAGACTGAAGCCCTGAGTTCAAACTCCAGTTCCACCACACACACACACACACACACACACACACTCACTCTCTCACTCTCTCTCTCTCTCTCTCTCTCTCTCTCTCTCTCTCTCTCTCTCTCTCTCTCTATATATATATATATATATATATATATATAAAATGCCTTTTATAATTACATAATTACCTTAACTGGTACTCTTTATGTGGATTTGAATTACCATCTGAGGTCACTTGCTTTCAGCCTGAAAAAAACTTCCTTTAGTGTTTCTTGCACAGTAGGTCCACTAACAACAAATTCTCTCAGTTTTTGTTTATGTGGAGGAAAACTTTTATTTTGCCTTCATTTTTGAACAATAGCTCTATCTTCAAGTTGACTAGTTTTTCTTCTGTCAGTTAAATCTACTCATGAGTCCCTTCAGTTTTTCATTTCAGTTACTGTACTTTTCAGTTCTAGTTTGGTGCTTTTTTTATAGTTTCTGTTGCTTTAATGACATTCTCTCCATGTTCATTGTTACCATACATTCCTTTACTTCTTTCTTATGTTGCCCTTGAGTTCTGTGAACATATTCATGATGGCTGCTTTGAAATCTTTTTGTTGTATCTAACATCTGGTCACTCTCACAGGCAGTTTCTGCTCTCTGCTTTTATGCCAGTATATGGGTTACACTTTCCTTTCTTTGCATGCTTTGTTAGTTTTTGTTGAGAACTTGTAAGTTTAGATAATATACTATAGCCATTGTGAGTACTGCTCCTTCCTTGCTTGTTTATGCAGTGACTACCTGTATTATTTTCCTGAAGCCTTTTCTATCAGTCTCTCTGTGACACACTGAAGGGGGTGGTGCAGAGATTGTATGTGTGAGAGAGTGTTAAGCTGGGATGTTATTCAAGAGGTTAAATTTAGGTGTGTCCATAGTCACCCAAAGAAGCAGTGATACTAGTAAGATTCACATCCACTCCTTTCCTGACTGCATACATCCAGCTGTTAAACTCTACTAATTGCCAGGTGATTGCACAGTTGTTTTCAACAATTCCCTCGTGGATAAATTGCTCTACAAATTAATCCAATCAAATTGTGGCTTTTTCGAATAGTTTCTGAAGTTCTAGTCAATATTTGTTCTGACCCCAGGAGGGATCCTCTCAGCTATCTTTATTTCCTGGCTCTCTTCTGCAAACTAGCCAGCCTACAGTTCAAGCTATATTTTCCTTTTATCACCAAATCTCTTCCCCATTGCCTTTCACCACAATACGCATGTTCTTGAGTACACCTTTAGTTTTACTTTCCACACTTTTTGCAAGTGACAAAACATTAGGAACTATCTGTTTGAAACGGGACAATGATAAGCTTCTAAACGATATTTCTACTGTAGGAGCTTAGTGTTGCTTTGGAGGTGTGGAGGAGTACCAAATGGCAGGCAGTGGTACTATAGCCTCATGTCCTCTTACATGCCTCTTTTAACATGGAACCACTATCTTAGGAGCCATACAAATGACTGTTTCCTTAGTGTTCTCAGCACTTCACACCCCAGGTAGAGTTTCCATTCTGTAAGTGAGAGTTGGGCAAAAGGAGGTAGCTCCTACTTCTCAGCTGCATTCAAGTACCTGGAGTCCTCCAGGGAGAAAAGCCTCCACCTGGGAGGTACATACTCTTGGCTGCAGCAGTCTGGGCTGCCTGCTCTAGAATGATGAGGGAAGGGAGCAATCTAGTTGAAATACCACCTTCTCCTAACCTAAGTTTTGTAGATTATCTTGAATAGATATTTCTTCACTTGCTATTTGCTTTTAGAGCCATTTCCAGAGACTAAACTTTGTAAGTTGGGGTTTATTTCTGTAATTTTCACCAGTTTCACTACAGTAGGTCAGCAGAGCTTCTTACATTTTTATGCTAAAGACCAGAATCCAATACAATTTTAAAATTTTAAAATTGGGGATCAGAGATTAGAGCTTTGTATATTGGCTATATTTTTTTCTGAGTACAAATATGATTATATGAGTAATGTTTTATAAAGATTGATTTCCACAGATATATTGTGGTTGTCAGAACAACCAACCAGTGACATAAGGGAAAGATGGAAGCAATTCCTAAAAAGAAAAAAATTTTGGATTTCCTCCTACCTCTGATTTTCTTTAGTTTTGCTTTATTTTTTGAGAAGGTCTCATTATGCAGCCCAAACTGGCCTTAAACTCACTGTGTAACCCATACTGGCCTTGAGCTCACCTGAGTGCCCTGAGTGTGCTGGATTACAGGCATGTGCCACCGTGCCCTGCTCTTTCTACTTATGTTATTAAACATGCCTCTAAAAAAGTAAAACTTTAGAATTTGCCTGTTAGAGTTTGCTTCCTGATTTCTTAATTTTCAAGTTAAATAACTCTATTTCAGTTTGCAGAAGCCCTTTCCATCCATAATAATTTTAAAACATGTTAGGTGTGAAAAGAAGAGCACAACTGGTTGTGTGAGAGAAAGAAAGAGAGAACTTTTGTTTTTGTTCTGGTTGTTTTTTTTAAATAGGTTATTTAAATGAAGGCCACTTCCTGCCTTTTCATTTGAGAGGTTGTTGTTCATTTGCCACAGTGGATCTCAGCCAGGGGTATGCAATAGAACTGGAATCAAAAGTTGCACAGGTCAGCTTAGTTTGTGTGCCTGTTAGTAACAACTGACCAAGTTAAATAAAAGATGCAAAGGATACTGTGTTCCGTCTTTTAATTTTCCAACTGACTAGTTAGCCAGAATATATTTGTAGAGATCACTAATGCTTTAAACATGTTATGTTTAATTTGATAATAAGCCAACTTCATTTTGGTACTTTCAAATATAATTTTTTCCCTTAGTGCTAGAGATCAGCTTCACACACCACGTCCAGCCCATCAATTAATCCTAATAGATACACCAATTATAGAAGAAAATGGTGGGCTGACTATAAAGAATAAAAAGCAACATGCCTTACCTTCCACTCAGCATCACTCTAAATGTGTCTTCTCTGCAGTTACCCTATAGGCACTTTCACCACATTCTAGATTATTGTATTTACTAAGTTTTTCCACAAGGCCTTACTAGAAAACCTCACATTTTAAATTTTTTGTTTTTGATTAACAGATGTATCGTAGAAACTGAAAATTTAGAAGAAAGAGTAGCTGTGGTGAGTCGAATAATTGAGATTCTACAAGTCTTTCAAGAGCTGAACAACTTTAATGGTGTCCTTGAAGTTGTCAGTGCTATGAATTCATCTCCTGTTTACAGACTAGACCACACATTTGAGGTAGGTTTGTACAGATTTTTTAAATGAACTGCCATTGCCTATTATAAAAATTAGGATTTTAACACTTGTGATATTTAACTTTTAAATGTCTCATCTCTCTTTTCAGAAGTAGAATATAAGATGAAACTATCTAAATTTTGTTATGAATTGGTTGCTCTTTTAAAATGAGGCCTTCTTATTAAAATGTATTCACAGGTCCCAGCTAGTTAGAAGAAAATGATTACACTCACTTAATAATGTTACAATATTCAACTAAATGCTCACATAACTGTGTGAGGGATGACAAGATAAACTATATCACACACACTTTTAAGTTTGAACTTCTGAGTCAAACTGATATATTACGTTTGGGCCTTAGTTGTTAGCCTGGCATCTTTTGGCAAGTCCTGCAATTCCTTTCATAAACTTAGGCCTCCAGTTTTTTTATCTTTCAGCAAATACCAAGTCGACAAAAGAAAATTTTAGAAGAAGCTCATGAATTGAGTGAAGATCATTATAAGAAATATTTGGCAAAACTCAGGTCTATTAATCCACCATGTGTGCCTTTCTTTGGTAAGTATTTCTTCCTGAATTTGTATTGTGTTTCTGGATAAAAGAAGATATTTATTTCATTAAATGTCTGAGTATAGAATTGTGGAATCTGCCAGTAGAAAGCACTTATTTAATAAATACTTAGTACCCTGAATCACTTTAAATTTTTTTCTGTTAGGACTTTTAAAGATAAAGCACAATACAGGGTTGAGTATCCCAAATCTGAAAATCCAAAATGTTCCAAAATCTGAAACTTTTTGAGATGATAACACAGGTGGAAAATTCCACATCTGACCTCAGGTGAGGGGTTGCAGTTGCAATGCAGGTTCACTACAAATATATAAAATTACCTTCAGGCTCAGGGTGTGATGCCATACACCTGTAATCCCAGCACTCAGAGGGTAGAAGCATGAGAATTCCAAGTTTGAGGCTATCCTGGGCTATATACAGCAAGACTCTATCTCAAAACAAACAAAATACCTTCAAGCTATGTGATGTATAAATGAATTTTATGTTTAGACTTGGGTCCAATACCCAAGATATCTCACTATATGCAAACATACCAATCAAAAATAATCTGATTCCACAGATATGCAAACCATATATCCATTTCACTTTTCTGTTTTTATCTTTGACAGCCATTAGAGATTATATAATACATTTTTATGATCATAGAAATCTTTAATTTCAATAAATCAAAACAGAAGAGACATTTCTAAACTCATCCCTATTTATAATTAATTTAAAATCAAAACACCTTCATGTGGCCAAAACTCACAGTGTATGTGCCTTTGAGTACATCAAAATTTCACTCTCTTCACCACCTTCTCCCCCTCTTTTTGCATCAGAGGATGGATGTACTATTTCCTCCTGTTAAGACTGAATCTCCTGAGTCTATTCCCTTTCTGTAGATTCTTTTATCTTCTGTTGTCATTTATTCCCTGTATTTTACATCTTTGATAATCTTTCACACTGGCTTCTTTTCTCTGCCTGTGTGTATGCTTAGGGATCCTTTTTCTGAATGTTTACAAAACTGTGATCACTATTACACCTCTTGTAGTTAGTCTTTTTAGTACTTGCAAATTTTCTCCTAGCCTTTTACTCATCTATATTTTTTTATATCATTTTAAGTTGTACTGTGTTTAGTAATATTTTTGCTGGTATCAGTGACTCATGCCTGTTATCTCGAGCTATGTGGGAGGTGGAGATTGCCTCTGAGCCAGCCTCAGCACCAACGCCCCCCGCCAAAGAAAGTTTGTGAGACCCCATTTCAATGGAAAAAAGCTTAGTGCGGTGGTGCATGCCTGTCACCCCAGCAACAGCAAGAACCTTAAAATAGGAAGATCCTGGTCCACGCTAGTCTGGGCAAAAGAGCGAGAACCTATCTCCAAAATAACCAGAGCAAAAAGGGCTAGATGAATGGCTCAAGCAGTAGAGTGCCTGCCCAGCAAGCACAAAGCTGGGTTCAAACCCCAATACCACACACACACACACAAAATATATATATTTGTATTTTCACACATTTTATTGTTTAGGCTTTGTAACCAACCATTTCTGTATTCCTTCTAATCTTTTTGCTATACACACTGTATACATGTATTTATATAACATATATATATTATGATTTATTCATTTATCATATCCTAAGCACATTTTTGTATCTTATTAAATAATCTACAATAATTTATAATGGCTGTGAAATAGTTCATAAAATTAATATGACAGCTTATTTAACTGTTGGGAACCAAAAGCCACAGTCCGACAAGGTCGCTGTGGCTTAGCAACATTCCAACAAGGTCGGAATCTGCAGGTGCACCATGTCTCTGTCACGGTGGGAAGGAACACTAACTGGTTTCCCTTGACTGAAAAGAAGTTTATACTTAGTCAAGGACACCAGCAGTAAGAATGCAGGGTGGAAAACACAGAAGGGTTGTAACTAGGTCTGAGTGTTTTGATGTTTAAGTCTCTTCCTCTTTTGTATAACTCTGGCTGAGAAAAATAAAATTTTGCCAGTTGGTCATCAGCCTGCTGGCCCTCTCGATATGTGTCTTGTCTTGTTCATTCCTGCCCTGAGCCCTTTCAGATTAAGGACCTATGCAATCCCGGCATTTAACCGTTATCCTTTGATTGGATACATTATTTCCAGCTTTTGCTTTGCTAAGTGTTACAATTAATATCTTCATTTATACTTTCTAGTTTTGAAAACATCTTCTTGAGATAGATAACCAGAAGAGGGGTTGTGTGGGTTAAAAGGTATCACTTTTAACTATAAATACATATCGCCAAGTTACTTTCTAGAAGGTGCATATGTCATCCATTATTTACAACTTTAGGTGCTTCTTTTTAAAAATTCATTTTTGTAGGTAAAAACTATTGCCTGTTTGTTATAATAACTTACATTCTTTGCTTACTGTGAACTTTTTAATTCATTTGCTTTAATAATTAGGTAAATTCCTTTTATCTGTGCCCTTTTTCATACCTGCTGTAAGTATTCTTTCCAGTCTGTCTATCCATCTTCCCCATTATGATTTCTGTTGAATCAAAGATTGACAATCTTAGAAAGTTCATCCAACTTTCTATTCATATTCATATTTTCCAGTTTTTTTATGACTTTCAAAATTATATTCCATTCTTTTAGCAAACTAAAAGTCTTTTAGATGTCATAAAATAACTCCGTTTATTTCTACACCAGATTAATGATTGCCTCTTTCCCTAACTACCCTGGATTCTCAATTAGGAGTAACTTTTGCCACTCAGGGAACATATAAATATCTGGAGACATTTTTTTTTTATTATCCTAATTGGATGGTACTATAGGCATCTTGTCAGTAGAGGATAGAAATGTTGCCAAGATCCTAAATGCACAGGACAGCCCCATAAAAAAGAAGCACTTACTCCAAAAAGGTCATTAATGCCAAGGCAGAGAAACCCTGCTTTATTATTCTCTTATATATGATCAAGTTGGTTCAGTATTTTCTTTGACAATTTTGTCTGTTTTTCTAAATGAACTTTATAATTTTGAGGGGCAAGGTAAGAAAATGCTGCTTCCCAAGAGAGCAACACTGTAAAGAGCACTTATGATATACAGCATAAGTTGTAAATGGTATGCATTTAATTACTCTTAATTCTAAGAATTTTAATATCCTTGGGTTTTTTAAATATTTACACATGTCAACAAATAATGACCCACTGTCTCTTTCTTTGATCTTTATAGAATGACTACTAACTTCCCAAGCAAAGGTTTAAAAATGGTAACAAATAAATAAACAGTTCTGTTTTAAACTTGGTTTCAGGACTTAGGCTATAGCTCAGTAGAAGACTTGCCTGGGTTTTATCCCCAGCACCACAAAAAATCAAAACAGAATAAAATAAAACCCAACGCAATTTCAGCAGGATAGATATGATTAGGTGTTTTTTTTTTTTGTCAAGTATTTTTATTGCCAAGGAATTGTTTGATCTCATTATGTAAAAAACACTGGCATTCAGTTAGATCCATAGAAAAGTTTTTAATTGTTCCTATTTTTAATACATATTTTTATTATCTTACCTTAACTTGCTTTTTTCTTCAAAAAGATAAGATCTTAAATTTAATTCTCTGGTTTTATTTTTATGAATTCTTTTTTATTACTAATTTCTACTATTTTCCTATATACGCCCTTCCTAAGCATCCTCCCCCAATTCTTTTCTTTTCTTTTTCTTTTTTGAGACAGGGTCTCCTTTTTGAGCCTGGCTTCAAAGTTGCAATCCTTTCGCCTCCACCACCTAACAAATGCTGGGATTATAGGCATGCACCACCATACCTGGCAACCCACCCCCCAATTGTTGAGAAAAAATATTGAGTTCATTTTTTTCTATTTCTGGTAAAAGTTAAAGCTTATGATTTACTCTTAAATGTGACTATGATGCCAGTTCATATAAGAGAACTGGGAAAGGATGGGGGGAGGGTCTCATGTTCATTTCATCTCATCTGACAAATATTTCCTAAGTAACTACTAAATTATAGTCATGTACTCGTGATACTCTAGTCTTTAGTACACAGAGATAAAAAGAAACCTCAGCTACTTTTCACTGGACTGTTTGGCCTTACTATCATCACTCAGACTGGTAGATATTTATTCTTACCAACTGATCTGTCTAAAATATGCTTCAAATTATATAAACTAATATAACTGATCTCCATGGTGTGTTAAGTGAAAAAGAAGTTTCAGATCTATTTCTAAGAGTATGATTCCATTAAAGTGCTTTAAGGTGAGCTGTGTGATTTAGTGAGTGAATATAAACACGTGTAGGTAGTTAATAGGTACGTAGAGACAGCTCACCTTAACAGCCTTCCTACCCTTTCTGCCCATCTTTCTGGTTAGCCTCTGCTCTTTTAAGTGAGTTTATCTAAAACTATCCTTGGTCAGTCCTGCTATTCTAGGAAGGTCTTTGCTGTTCCTAAGCTTATTACCAAGGTCATAACCTGGAATTAGTTAGGTGGCCTTTTATGGTTCGGACCTAATAGGTAGAACTAGATATTATTGCTGCTTCTGAATTCTATTTTGTCTACATGGTAATTTATAGAAACTCCTTCCAGATTCTTATCCTTAATTCTGGATACTGTTTTACCCTTTCTATGAGGGAGAAGCAAGGGTAGTAACTAACACTTTTACTTCTTCTGTCATCTCACCAGAATTCTTATTCTTTTGCTGGCACTGCCACCATTTACAGAAAAAGAAAGAATTAAGCTTTACAAGTATGTAATATTGAGGTCTATATGTATATACATACTTAGGGTCTACATTTTTAATTCAAAAAAAATAAAGGGGGAAGGGAGGGGGAGAGAGATGTATGCTTAAAACACTTTTACTGATGTGTAATATATGATCAACAGTGTTTGGATAACATTGAAAATGATCATTTGTTCTTTTTACCACCCATCAATTAGGCATGAAATAATTTCTAAATTTTATCCTGAACTCCTCCAAAGTACTACTTGTAAGCATTTTTGCAACTTCATTCACATGTACTTTTGATACTTTTGGTAGCTCATAAACTTACTATGCCTCCTGTGTTCCTAATGTCTGTCACTGCACTACCCATTCAGTCACTCAAGCACAAATCTCAAGAGTCTTCCTTTTGTGGCAGAGTGGCTCAACTGGAAAGAGTGTCCGCCTAGCAATCATGAAACCCTGAGTTCAAATCCCAGTGCCACCAAAAAAAAAAAAAAAGTCTCCTTAAGGGTCTTCCTTCCTGCTGCCCCTACCTCTTGCCCAAGCTGGTTAATTTTTTTGTTTTTTTGGAGGGGGGCTCCTATTTCTGAACTTTGAGAGCTGAATGGATCATGCAATTTGTGTAGAAGAGACTGTAACTAGCCAAAAGTAAAAGAGTCTGTGCTCTTATATACATAAGCAATTGTCTTTTATATTTATCATGAAGAATGGCCTCAGTGGTGACACATAGAATTTATGCACCCAACAACTGGATGCTTTTTAAAACCAAAGAGACATTAATGCCAGTCATATGTTAATATTGTTCACTTGGTTAGTATTGATTTGAATAATCTTTTCAAGGATGCAGCAAAAAAATTCTAGTATTTACGAGTATGCCTCTACCATAGAAGCATTTAGAACCACTGATCTAACCCTTGCCTGTGTCTGTTCTGATATCATGCTACTCTTCCTCCATTTGATATACTAAACCCCTATAGTCTAGTCATACCAAACAACATGCTGTCTTTACCTGTGTCTTCCAAACTTCACATAAATTAGTGTAATGTTGGCTGCTTTGCTTAGAATGCCCTCCATGTTATTCTGTTCATTAACCTTCTACTTAACTTTCTGAGACTTAACTCTAAGCATCACTTCACCTGTCATGCTTTTTCTAAGCCCCAGCTCAAGGAAGGATAAGGCACACAACCTTGTGCTCTCATACCAACTTATGCATTACTACTAATGTTGCATCTCCTAATATAGAACTTACCATATCGTATGTACCACAGCAGCTCATGCTGAAAGCTTTGCACTCCTTGAGGTCAGGTTTTTGTTTTGGTTTTTTTCATCTTTGTATTTGTAGTACCTAATGAAGTACTTGACATACACCAAAACGCAGTACATTTGTATTGAATGGGTGAACTTAGGTATCCACACAACTATTTTTCCCCAAAGCAGTAGTCAGTACTTTGGGGAGGAAAAGGCAGAAGCATAAGAGAATGAGGTAAGATAAAATAACAGTGTTAATAATTACAACCATACCTAATTAATGCTTACTTTTGTTGGACTCAACTCTAAATATAAATACAAATTCACTCATTTATTTCTCACAGCAATCCTCCTACCTTCATTTTACAGATGAAATAACTGAGGCACAGAGAGACTAAGCAGTCTGCACAAGATCATACAAGTAGAATGCAGCAGAGTTGGCTCCAGAACCTTTGTTCTAGAAAGGAAAGGAACTAAAGTGCTCCTGCTACCAGAGGGCCGAATAAAAAGCTAAAATTCCTGATATTTTGTTCATTCTTCTCCTCTTCCAGTGCCCACTTTGTAGTAATGGGGAAACAGGAGCTCAATTATCAGGTTGCCACTAAATCTAAGTGTGAAAACCAGATCTTTGTAAATGATATGCAGTCTTATGTTTGATAGGCTTACATATCCTCCCACATTTCCACAAGTATCATAACTTCTTGTGAGATCAAGAATTGAAAAAACAGAAAGTCTGATCTTTGGAGTTTATCATTTTTCCTTTTACCAAAAATATGCCATCAGTGACAGAGCTGTTCTTAAACGTCCTTTAACAAAACTGTGACTTAAATCAAGTAACAGTGATTTGGGGACTATGGAAAATTGGTTATTCATCCTGAAAAAATCTATTAATTTCTTAAGTTTAGTCTCCCTTTTCCTTAGATATTTATTAAATTTTATAAAACATGGTAATTACAAAAATCTTTCTCTTGACATTTACTGAGCTTGTTATTTTTCATAGCATAGAAATCTGAGCTTTGAGTCTTTGGTTATGAAGACTGAATAAAGGATATAGTCTCACAAATAATGAAAAAGAAAAAACTTGCTTTTTCCTTCTTCATCCTTGAAATAATTTCATTATATTTTCTAGGTATTTATCTCACTAATATATTGAAAACAGAAGAAGGCAACCCTGAGGTACTAAAAAGACACGGAAAAGAGCTTATAAACTTTAGCAAAAGGAGGAAGGTAGCAGAAATAACAGGAGAGATCCAGCAGTACCAAAACCAGCCTTATTGTTTACGAGTAGAATCAGATATCAAAGTAAGTTGAATTATGTGAGGATACAAATTCCTGATTAAGTTAATAAAATGTCTGATAAAGGCCAGGTTTATTTCATAGAGGAGCAAGAGAAAAATAAAACATAAAATAATTCAAATTTTCTTATATTAAATGTTTTCCTAAATTATTTTCATGAACTTCAAATTGAATTACAAATATTTAATATTAATAATTATTTCTTTGCATTTATTTTAGAGGTTCTTTGAAAACTTGAATCCAATGGGAAATAGCATGGAAAAAGAATTTACAGATTATCTTTTCAACAAATCCCTAGAAATAGAACCACGAAATCCTAAGCCTCTCCCAAGATTTGTAAGCACTCATGTATTTACCTTTCTTTTATACTTATGTTTTGTAGTTGTTATCTACATCTGGTGATGTCATCATTACATATGTATTGTACAGATTAGTTTTCTATAAAAGCATTCAGGGATAGAGTGCATATATGATAGCTAAGAGTTATGAAAAAATGTTTAATAATATACCCAAGAATATTTTGCTTGGTTCCAAATAAATGATCACTAGTATTAATTTGAGTAAATCCTTATATGATGAAATTGAGTAAAGGCTTTTTTTATTATTGGTTTTAACAAAAATGGTATTTAAGACTTATTCTAAGTGCAGGAAATTTAATGAATTTATGCTAATTCAGTTATATTTACTTGGGACTTCTAAAGTTAATGATTTATTAGAACTTTTAAACATGAATCATTAGCCATAGAAATACTAGGTTTGGTTAAAGATACTTACAATAATTCCATTGTTTTATACCACTTGGCAGTGCCTGGCCAGATTTATGTACCTTACTGATCTGAATATGTTCTCTCATTCATGAAAAAGTCAAGAATCAAGAAATAAACATAAACAGTTTCTAAGTGATCAAAATAACTCTCATAATGTCTATGAATTATATAGCAAATGTAGTTGCCTCACAATTTTTCAAGCCCTAAAACAGTTTTTAATAGCATGAATGAAGAACAGCAAATTGGAATTACATATCTAGTCTCCTCCAGTAAGGCACACTGATTCACTGACAAGCGATCACTCTGCAAGGAAAAGGCCATAAAACTAACACACATGTATGAAACTCAGACAATCTAATGTATTTGTAAGTAGCTCAAATGGTCCTAATAGCATCACTGATTATAGCGTAGTAGATATTATAATTAATGACGATAATCCTGGCTTTTCCAGCAGGATTAAATTTGCTCAAAATAGCCTGTTTAAAAAGCCATATATATATATGCCAAGCACTGTTGGCTCACCTCTGAAATTCTAGTTACTTGGGAGGCTGAGATCAGAAGAATCATGGTTTGAGGTCAGCCTAGGCAAACAGTTCATAAGACTACATCTCTAAAATAACCACAGCAAAATGGGCTGGAAGTGTGGCTCAAATGATAGTGTGTCTGCTTTGCAAGTGTGAGGCCCTGAGTTCAAACCCCAGTCCCACCAAAAAAAGTCATGTAAAGTATATTTAATTTTATTTATATATACAATTCACTTATTTATAAAAGTATTCTAATTCAGAAAAATTTCTACCTCCCAAAATATTAAAATAACAAATGTTCTGGTATTTCTAGGAATAAAGTTCAGTAAAAGAAATTCATTTTCTAGCAATTTAGAGAGCCAGATCTTCAGCAAAATAGAATGGTTATGCTTTAATCAGACACTTTGATCTGAATCATTATGTAACTTCCCTATTGGTGATTTATAGTTTTCCTAATTATTAGTTGACTTTTACTGGTATATATAGAAAATCTTCCTTTCTACCATGGTGTTTTAAGTATTGTGTTTCTTTTGATATGTCTACAGCCAAAAAAATATAGCTATCCCCTAAAATCTCCTGGTGTTCGTCCATCAAACCCAAGACCAGGTACCATGAGGCATCCCACACCTCTGCAGCAGGAGCCAAGGAAAATAAGCTATAGTAGGATCCCTGAAAGTGAAACAGAAAGTACCGCATCTGCACCAAATTCTCCAAGAACACCGCTAACACCTCCTCCTGCTTCTGGTGCTTCCAGTACCACTGATGTTTGCAGCGTGTTTGATTCTGATCATTCAAGCCCTTTTCATTCAAGTAGGTGCTAAAATTTTAAGTGCTTTAAAGCAAATGTTAGTGTTCTACAAGCCAGAGGTAAAAAAGAATCTGTAATTTGTGTGTGTGTGTGTGTGTACTTGTATACAAGTAGGATACCATTTCAAATACCATTATAAAACTAAACAAATTCTAAATTCCATAAACTTACAATTTAAAAAAGAAAACAGCCCTTTTATGATCTATTAAAGGTTACTATAAAGGCCTGGTGGTAAAATTGGTAATTAAACTTCATTTGAACAGTGCAAATGCATCTTTCATATAAAGAGGAAACAAAGATCACTCTTAAAAATCTATAAGGAGCATCAGTCCTGTGTTTTCAATGCTGCCTCCAAAATTATGGTATTTGAGTACTGCCCAAGTTATCCTATCAAGCAGTGACTTTGAATTTTGCAGCTTATCAATTTCAAACTCCTAACTAGGAGCCTACCCATGGTACATGACAGTATACAGTGCCTGCTGGTACTGTGTTCTTCAGCACAGCCATGCAGATCTCACAGGCTGTGTACTGTTGCTTATTCCTTTATTACTAGAGCAGCACTACCCAACAGAAATACAGTGCAGCCACGTGTTGTGTATAAATTGAGATGTGTTGTGTATAACTTGAGATGTCTAGAAGCCCCATTAGAAAAAGCAAAAATAATTAAGTAAAATTCTAAAATTTTTGAAATATCAAAAATATTGTTATTTCAACATGAACTTTCAGTATCAATATAAAATTTTACTATGAAGACTTTTTTGTTGTTGTTTTTTGAGGCAGGGTTCCTTATGTAGACCAGGACAGTCTTAAACTCATTCCTCTGCCTTAGCCTTCCTGAGTGCTGGAATTACATTTGTCACCATGCCTGGCTTATTAAGACATTTATATTCTTTTGTTGTTGCTCTAAATCTTTAAAATTCAGTGTGCGTTTTACACTTAACAGCACATCTCAAGTCAGACAAGCCATAGTCATAGTTTAGTATGTGGTTATCAAACCGTACAGGTCAGATTCCTCTTAAATCTAGATTGCCATTAAACTTCTCTGTTTCATTTGGAACTCTAAAGCTCTTTTGAAAACACATCATTGTTTTTTTCATTTGTTCATTATTAAGTCAAAATTTGAATCACCTGAAACCCTCTCATGATGGTTCTACATGCTGCTATTCCCACTGACTGTCTTAGCTTGATGGACTGATCAAGCTTAACTGGAGGCAGCATGAGTGGCAGAGGTTGGCAGACATTAAGAAATATTAACCTTTGAAATGGAAATCCTGGTTTGTCAGCCCAGTCTGCTAGTAAGCTTTCTTCTGATTTTAGATAAAATACTTTTTCTCTGCCTTCAAGATTTTTAAGGTTTCTTAGAACTCAGAGAATCTAACTTAAAATCCACTATAAATAATTCTTTGGAGGTATATTGAGATTTGGTCTAGAACCCTACTTGTTTATTCCTGTAGCATACAAACACTTGTAGTTACTTCGCAATCTGTCTTATCTTTGTACCATATGAAGTATATGTCTTGAGAATTTATTTGGCTCTGTTTGATGACTGAAGATCATAGAGTCATGTTGTACACATAGTAAGCTGTCAGACATATATTTTTTTGATAAGTTCAAATAGACACAAGGTTAAAAAAATTTCTCTCCAACTTGACTTACCCCTAAATTGAGTAATAGAATACAATCAGCACTTTTTCAGTATACCTGGCATAAAAATAATGGCATATTATTATTTTTGGACCCATTTAGCTATATGTAAAATTTTCTTTTTCCTAGAGCAGACAGCTGTAAGTCCATATTGAAAGGATTCCCAAATAAATGAACTATTGGAGCCACACGAAAGCTAGTTAGTTTAAGTTACTAAAAGTGGAAGAGGTGGAAAAACATGAGATAAGCACAGTAAGTTTCTCTACTACAGTGTTAAAATCTTTAAAGGATTAGTCAAATGGAAGAAGTCACTCTGGAATACAGTACTCTGAACTGGTGCTTTATTACAATGTGGCAGTGGCATGGTATTAACATAAACAGCTGGAGAAGTAAAGAAAGCTTTTTGTCCCAGGAGTTAAATTTTCTAAGCTTGGACTTGAAGGTTTTCTCAATTGTCTTTATGATAAAGAAAACCACTATTACTACTCCTTTTGCTCTTAGTAAAAACTGAAAAAGAAATGATTTTGAAATTAAGTAATCCAGCATAAAATAAAACCATCCATGTGCTCAATTAAACACTTACTTAAAACTTATCAAGGGCTGGCAGAGCGGCTCAAGTAGTGGTGTACCTGCCTAGCAACTGTGAGGCCTTGAATCCAAACCCCAGTACTACCAAAAAAGAAAAAAAAATCATGTCTAAAACTTATCAGTAACCTGTGTGCATTAAAGGTACCCACCTGCTTTTGACTCCTCTTCTGCTTAACAGATCTGCTACTGCTGTGGGCATCTCCAGAGCCTCCAACTTGCTATCCACTGTGTTGCCTACTTCTTTGTTTCACCGGCAGAAATGAGCTGCCTTGACTGCAGTCTTCTGTCATCTGAACATACTCCACTCAGTACAAAGTAGCAGAAAGTCCTATTGCTTTAGTTGCCTGAAGTCAAAAATTTGACTAGAATTTATCAGTTACAATACTACTTTTTTTTTGTTTCTGATAGTTTCTTCCCCAAAAATAATCTTTTAAGCCTGTAATTCTTTCAGCTGGTATTTTCTATATCTCACTCCTTGCTAAGCACTTAAGACATCTTCGCTGAGAAAGCTTGCAGTCTAATTGAGAGATGAAAAATAATGATAGCACAAAGAGAAGCACAGTTAAATGCCCAAGAAGTGACAAAAACATAATGCTGTAGAAATCTGCAGAGAGATGACCTCAGAATGGGCAAGAATGTCATTGACAGCTTTGTGATCAAGAAAGACAGGGAAAGAAAAAGGCCACCTACTTAGTGCTGCTACATGTACCCGACATTCAGAGCCCTGCTCTGTATCTTGCCCTCACCAGTTTCCCCTGTGAGGTGATCCTGATAGTGGATGGGAAAAGAAGAAAGACCAACAGTTAATGGCTTTGTCTCTGCTGCTATAGAGAGAGAGGAGAATGATGAAATGACCTTATTACCTTCCTGTTTGAAGAATGCCTGGTCCTAAAGGAGAGCCAAAGGTCTGGCTATCTCTGTGCTGGAGTTGAGCTTTATCTGTTCCTTATGAGGGAGAACTATGGCAAGAAAAAGATGTTTTGCAAGCATTTCAAGCTGGAGTATAAGATTTTTATAGGTGACGAGTTTGTGATCTCAAATATACTTGTGTTTATGAGGCTTTTGTGAGCTGAAGAAGTTTTCCATCATTTATAGCTCTTTTTTTCCTATGGAAAACAGCTTGTTTCTTTATCAAAAATGACTTCTTTTAAACTGGTGGTTTCAATTTGACTGTAAAATATAGTTCCCAGAGAACTTTGAAAAACTACCTAGGCCCAGCCCATACTAGACTGGCATTTTCACCTGGACATCAGTATTTAAAAAAAAAAAAAAAAAAAAACTCCCCAGGGGCCAGGGGCCAGTGGCTTATGCTTATAATCCTAGATACTCAGGAGGCAGAGATCAGGAGGCTCTCGGCTCCAGGCCAGCTGGGCAAATAGTTTGAAATCTCAAAAATACCCAACACAAAAAAGGGCTGACAGAGTGACTCAAGTGGTAGAGTGCCTGCCTAGCAAGTGTGAGGCCCTGAGTTCAAATCCCAGTACTGCCAAAAACAAAACTCCCCAGGGGATTCTAAAGTATATCCAAGATTGAGAGCCATTGGTCTTTTATTTGGGATTTGTACTTAATAATAATTCTTTTTTAAATAACTGTATTTAACTCCTAAGTTATCATCAATAATTTTGTTCAGTATCTAATCTAGCATTTATTTCTAGAGCATGTAAAATTCTAAAAGAATTTTGATAGCATTTTCCAGGCCAAACACTTAGTTTAAAATAAGAAATTAGAGACGTGCCCCAGATTTACCAAAGCATGAATCTAAGCCTGTGCTATATATAAATATGATGAAAGCTAAGTTTATACTTATATGTACATAAGTATACATATAAGTATGTATAAGTGTATACATATATATAATTATTCTTTCGTGAACACTGCAGTTTATAGCAGTCTTGAGCCTTGTCTTGAGCTTAAATTTTATTCCTGTATTGTACTAAGTATACTACCATGTTCTTGAGGTTTATCTTCAGGGAGTGTATTTATTTAGTTTTCAAGAAAAATGAGAAGTATATAAGTAGGTAAACACTAGAACTGGATGGTTAGTTCCTATTTTGCCACAGGTGCCTAACTGTGAAGAAATCATTGACAGAACAACAGCTTTATGGAACTATAGAGTAGAAAAGTGAATTTTAATCTTCTTTGAGATAACTTTTTAGAATAAGCTGGACAGTTAACACTTAGTAATGATGGTTTCCAAATAAACATTAATACTTACGGAAAGGAGCCAATAGGACATATTCTTTGAATTTGGGGCTGCTTAGGAAATATGACAGCTGTATCTATGTACGCAATCAAGTTAATAAGACTCAGTCAGTCATCAAGTTAACTGAACCTGGATATAAAACTATCCTCCTGATCAAGTAAGTCTGAATGAACAGTATTCCAAATTGTTTGAGACATTGCATATTATGGAAAACTATAAAGAATGAGAGAAAGGGAAATCTGAATTTTTAAAAATCAGTTCAGTCTAGTGTCACAGAAATTATAACACTAAATTTGTAATACTAATTCTAATTCGCTTCTTGGATATCATCTGTTCCATGTATTGGTAATGTAGGTAATTGTTTATGTAGAACATAAACAAGTATGTTGATTTAGAACCAATATAACTCATCTATCCTCTTGTCTCAATTTTCCTACTTTAATGCTCTTGGGGCTTTGGCTTTGATTTTCAATTTTTTTATTCAATTTCTTTCCAATCAATGATTTTCAGTTTTTTAAAAGAATTAATATTGTGATATCAGGCATTCTAAATTTATCAGGCAATTTCCTACATAAAAAGTGTCTAAGGATTGAACATCTATCCATTTTTTTAAAAAGTGTTTATGAACCCAAAGGAAAAAAAGCAATGACTTTCAAATTTAATTTAATATCCAAAGCTCCAGTTATCTTATAGTGAGAATGGATGCCTCAAGAACATTTTTCAAAGGTATATAATTAGGATACTAGTTTGAAGCTCCCTTTAATCTTAAGCTCAGCAAAATTCTTCACTCGAATTAGGTGTATACCTTTTTAAAAGTCTTCCAATAATGTAGTTTAGTTTGCTAGTGAATGTTTTTCATTTACTTATTATGATACCAAGTAGTAAATCTAAAAAGAATCTTCAAATTTCCCAATATGATATATCCACTCAATTTAATTATTTTTTTCTTTTTGAAAGTGGGAAGTAATGGCTTTTTTAAAAAAAATAAAAATAAAAAGTAAAAACTACTACAGCATTCTTTAAAACTAGGGTGACAATAACATTCTGATTATAAATAAATTTTACAGATAAGTTGACTATATCAATAAAAGAAAAAAATATCTTTCTTGTTTCCTTTCACAGGCAGCGATACCGTCTTTATCCAGGTTACACTGCCCCATGGCCCAAGTTAGTATATTTAGTTTAAGACTCGTAATTCTTGCTTTTGCTTTAAAAATAAGACCAAGTGTCACTTTTCCTGCTAAAATTTTCCTTGGGTCTGGCAACATTTGGTACTGCTTGCACCATCTTATTAGAAGCGAGGCCTTCACTTATGCTATCCTTCAATCGTAAATGATTTGCTTAAATTTGTACACTTTTCATGCTTTTTGTAAAATCCTTTTCTCTTTTAAAAGAACATGAAATGAGTGGCTTCTACATTTCACCACTTCTCTTTTCCAACTGTAGAATTCTAAATGTATGTAATGTTCAACTTTGGAACAAGGAGCAAGAGCATGCATGCGCATTTGGGAATGCTGGCAGCTAAACCACAAGATTCACTTGGTCTAGTGACAGCACAGACTCCAGGCAAATAACTACTTTTGACTTTAGGAGGGTTATCTTACAACTGCAGCTATATAAAGTATAGGGACTAAATGTTAATCACAGATACACAAAATAAAGTTCCATTGTTAACTATTTGCTTCAATTTTAAAGTAAACTAACAGTCCATTATTTTAACTATTTTAAGCTAATAGAGTAACATCTTTGCTGTCCTTCCCTACAAGTGATTTCAAAATGTGTTTAATAGAAAATATTAGTTACAAGCTAAATTAACTGTATATAGTCTCTTAAAAGGATGGGGATAGAGATGATCAGGGATGGCGGGCATAGCTCAAGTGGTAAAGTGCTTGCCTAGTATGTGGGAGGCTGGGTCCCATTCCCAGTACCCCCCTCCAAAAAAAAAAAAAAAGAAAGGTGATCAAAATATTGATCATTTGAGTAACATCAGTACACAAGGTACTCTAAGTTCTATATTATTATAACATTTAATTAACAAAATAAAAGCTTAATGCTTAAAGGAATAAAAAGAGCCTGCTAAGTATAATTTTGAATATTTAAGTATTTTTCATATCTTTTTATAGTGTTTATAAACCAGTTAACACATAAATGGTATCTTTCAAAGTGTAATTATTATCACCATGAATGTCTGTAAGATGGATTCTAATTAGAAAGTTTTACTTACCTTCTTTGTGCCAGTTCACCAACTTGCTATTAGATCAGGTTCACTAAGATTTAGTGTAATTCCTATTTTCATTACCAGGGCTATTCCAGTCATCTTGAGTAGCTCTATCACAGTTAAAGTTTTGGGAATAGAAATAATGAGCCTGATTTTGCTTGTACACCAAGAATAGTCTTTACCCAAGGCCCTCCCCAGGCAATAGAATCTTTCCCCTGCGTCCTTTAAGATGCTGGACAAAGACACTGGGGAGAACTGTTAAGATCAGAAACTATATCCAGAGGGACTGTCTGAGAAGTGCAGGGGAAATCTATACTAATAGAGTCAGAGAAAAAAGGAGCCTGTCACAAAGCTTGACAAAAATAACCATTCCAATGATTTTTTCAGATTACCATTCCATTTCATCAGAAACCTGAAAATCAGACTCAATTTAAAATTCCAACAATAGATTAAACAGTGGGAATGTTATTTTGTTTAAGAAGCAAAACAACAGTAACTTAGGCAGCCTTTTTCTAATAAGTCTGCTAAGAAATTTCTGCATGCTCATATAGCAGTTTGCTTTAATAAATGAAATACTGTTGAGCATTGGTTTATTAAACTGCTTTTGATACTTCTACACATTTCTTTTAATAAATATAAGCAATTTCCAGCTAAGCTTTTTCAAGATTAATAAGTGAGATAAAATTCCCATAAACTTTTTAAAAAATTAACATCCTACAGGATCTGCTTCAGTATCATCTATAAGTTTAACCAAGGGCACTGATGAAATGCCCATCCCCCCTCCTGTTCCTCCACGAAGACGACCAGAATCTGCCCCAGCGGAATCTTCGCCATCTAAGGTAAAGTAGAAAATCTTGTTATCTGGAAATTGGAATTATTAGTTACTTTATAGAAAATTACTTACGTCTATTTAATTCTTACTGGGATAGGGTAACATGTCAGAGTATTTGGGCTTAGTAGTTTAAATAAGGGTTAAATATGGATTTAGCATGCAGAACATTTCTTTTCTTCTAAAGGTAGTTTTGAGGAATGTGTGCAAAACCCTTAGAAACCTTAAGCTGTATTTTCAAGGAAAGAAAAAACAAGTTTTAATTTATAAGTAAGAATAATTGTCTCATGCAGTTCTTGTAAATCACATATGCAGAGATAGAAAAAGAGAAGGAAAGAGGTTTGAAGCTTTGCATGAAGGCACATGACTAGTGGAACTTTACCTTAGCATATGCTAAAAGTCTGAGCCCTTGATAGACATGCTTCAAAATAGAGTTTTCATGAAAATACAAAATAAATATTTTTTCCACCTGTTTAAATTTTTTTCCCTTTTTTTTTCATTTATTTATTTATTTTGCCATTTGTTAACTTAATTCATTGGTTCTTAAGCTGTCCAGAGGGCAGAGCACATGGATAAATCAAGACACTTTTGCAAAAGTTTGTGAAATGTTAATATAGTAAATTGAAAATTGAAAAATTAATTGGTAACTTATGATAAATTAGAAATTATATGTCACATGGTGATAGGCAAGCAGTAACAAACAGCAAAATTTTGATTAAAAAATTAAGATTAAAAAGAACATTGGCAAAATTAATTTTTTTCTATGGATTGGTAGAACTTCTTATTTAAAACATGGCAGAACTCTGTTTCACACATAGTGTTCTGCCCTTAAAATGTTTGAAAACCCCAACTTGATTGTTAATATACTTATAATACTACACAAATGAAATTATTAACAAATGTGTTTTATTCTTTTTTCATTTGTTAGATTATGTCTAAACACCTGGACAGCCCCCCAGCCATTCCTCCTAGGCAACCCACATCAAAAGCCTATTCACCACGTTATTCAATATCAGACCGGACCTCTGTATCAGACCCTCCTGAAAGCCCTCCCTTATTACCACCCCGAGAACCTGTGAGGACACCTGATGTTTTTTCAAGCTCACCACTACATCTCCAACCTCCCCCTTTGGGCAAAAAGAGTGACCATGGCAATGCCTTCTTTCCAAACAGTCCTTCTCCCTTTACCCCACCACCTCCTCAAACCCCTTCTCCTCATGGCACAAGAAGGCATCTGCCATCACCACCATTAACACAAGAAGTGGACCTCCATTCCAATGCTGGGCCGCCTGTTCCTCCACGACAAAGCACTTCTCAACATATCCCTAAGCTCCCTCCAAAAACTTACAAAAGGGAGCATACACACCCATCCATGCACAGAGATGGACCACCACTGTTGGAGAATGCCCATTCTTCCTGAGTTCCTCTGTACTGGGATGTAAGTTTCCTAGCCCCAAATCCATTGCTGGCAATGGATGCACTGAACATGCCAGCACTGAGGAGTTAAAATGAGAACTCCAAACACTAACGACTCTACTTCAAAATGCAGTATAAGACAATGAATTTTAATGCAGATGTAATTATGAAGTGAAATGGTATTACAGTTCAGAATATGTAAAGACTGATCTAGAGGAATTGGACAACTGAATGCACCTGAAAATTAAGTGAAGGGACTTTTTCTGGCCAATAGGCAAGAGTCCTTATTTTATGAAGTGATCTTTATCATCAAAGGGATGGAAAACACAGTCTAGTGTCCAGCAGGCCCACATGATGACAGTTTTTATAATTCAAAATATTATGCACTTTTAAAAAAAATCTTAAACAGGGATCTTAACTATCCTCCTTTGTTTTTCTTTGCTTTACTCTTCTACTTAGAATATTTTCATAAAATCATTCAAAAGACTGTGAGGAAAGGCTGTGGTACCTGACCTTGTTGAAATCAAGGGCCAGCACTGTACTACAGTCCTGTTTACAGATTATTACAGTGAATTGAATGGGTACCGAGGCTTCACCAAAGAGGTACTTTTTTGTTATTGTTGTTTTAAAAATAATTATACTAGTTTTAAGAACATTCCCCATCTACCCCCCCTCCCCCCGCCACACACACAAAACGAGGTGGTGTTGCCTTCAAACAAGAGATGTTTTGTGTCACTGACACAATGGAAGAACTTTTTTAAAAATGTAACTGTTAATCTATGCTACATTTAGGAGACTGTTAATCTATGCTAGATTATCATTTTACTCCCTTCCTCCTACAAAGGTTTACTGGTAATACATGTCCTGGCTCGTAGCTGTCCCTCTAACCATACTATGGAAATGCAGGCACCCAATGTGAAAAGGAGCACTTGCTGGGCATCACTGACACCATTCATGTTTTACTAGTAGTCAAGTAGTCAGCATATCTAGAATTACCTTGCATTGCCTAAATCATGTGTATATAGTGAATGTTATATAATATACCTGGCAGGTCTGTTTTAATTTAATTGAATAAAGATACAAATAACTTTGTTTGGCTGGCATATATTAAATTATTACATGGAGAAAATGGTTGATTCTTATTTCTTTCAGTTGAAAAACACAGACACACACACATAGCACTAAGCATAAAAGCACGTATTGTGGTACGTCTTGGTTTGTAGTTCTGGATATATGTTTTAATCTGAAAGAATGATCTAAAGTTGCAGTTTGGCATGTAGGAAAATATTTGTTTAGAATAAGATGGATATCTTTTAAGTAGAACTTTGTAGGTTTTTTTAATTTCCTAAGCAACATGTACAGTTTGTTAAGGTTTATATTGAACGCATGTTCAGTATAACATCCTTGCTTGAGGTCTTCTGCTCTATCAGAACTATTCATTATATAACATCTACCTGCATCATTAAAATCATAACACAGATTCTTCATTACGTCTATGTACTGCTCTTCTGAATCTAACAAATACTGTGACTGAAATGCATGCAATTTGTTGAAGAGGAAAAGGTTTTATTAACCTCCACTATAATGTCTGTGAAATGTACAGTATTCCATCCTTAGAGATTCATCAGTATCTGCATGTGTCTTCTGAACAATGAAGCAACATTTCAGCAATTCTGTTAACCATGCAGTTAGAGACATTTTCAGAAGTACCACATCATGATGGAAACCTAAGACTTTATTTCCTGAGATATTTATTAGAGCATTAAATGTACATCATGATAGTACAGTGTATAGTCCTTTAAGACCTGAAAGTATGTTAATCACATCACCATCAAGCAATCCATCGTATCAAATCCTTTCTTATTTATTTGTTAGAGTTGTATCTTTTTTGTTTAATATCTATTCCATTCATATTATGGTAGCCATTTTTTCTTTGTAAAATATCTTCTCTTTTTAAAGTGTCCTAAAAAGTTAATTTCAAATCCCCTCTTGGATGCAAAGTATCCATAAGACCATTCAATGAATATTATATAAGTCTACTTACTAGTGCTGCTACAATTAATTGTGATACACATTCCAGAATCTCCCATAACATTGTATTGGGCCAGCCTAACTGTCCCTAGGATTTTCCCTTTTTATGGCTTTTATTGATCGCTTTTGGTTATCCCATCCCTACTCCAAATAAGAACATAAGAAAAGTCACATTGGAGTCACATTCAGTATCTCTCTGGCTAGTGTGTTAGCCTTCAATAAGGTGATGACCCCTTTTCATCCCATCTGATCCCACAAAGAGCAAAAACTCAGATCTGGAGTTCTAATCATCTTTCTCCCAGAGGGAACCATTCTCCCACCCTGTGGTTCTAGGAGACCACTTCACTGTGCAACTGTTTTATATGCATTGTGGAAAGAGGATATTTTTATTCTGAAGTGTAACATTTGGGTAAAAATATTTTCTCTAGTGGTAATTGATTAGAAAAATTCCAATTGAATGCCCTTAGGTAGAGGTGAGAAAACTGTAACCTTCTTATGTGAACCATTATCTAGCTGACAAATTTATTCTTAGTAGTAACAAAATGTATTTAGGGACAAGAAGTGGCAGAAGAAGATAAATGCATCACTACAAAATTCTGCTTTTGAATCCAGCACATTACAAGGTAATCAGTGCAGCATGACTATTAACCACATTCCAAAATGTGGAACATTCTTTTAAAAATGGAAATATTCCTCAAGGTTTCATTTATCTTTGGATCACAAAATGAAGGGAATATTTCAGGGCTGAATTTATTTAATGGGCTTATAATCCATTAAATATAATAGAAAGGGAAGCTTTTCACATCTAACTAAGCACTTTTAAAAAAACATGACAGGTAAGAAGTGTATGTTTCTAAATGTACTGAAAAATAGATTTACTTTTCCTAGTCCTCCAAATGTATCTAAAGACTATAAGTGATCATGAAATACACAAACATTGAAAGTCTGCTTAATTTTAAAAGTTTGCTTAACTAAAGATTGTTGGGCATCAAATCATGTATTTAGTAGGCTACTATTCTCTAACTCAAGGATGTTTTAAAGGATCAGAGTTGAGCAGAGTGTACCACTACAACACGTATAATCAACAAAAGTCTAGAAAACATGTACTGTTTCAGTTGGAGGCTAAAGTATGGTTCTAAAATCTTATTTTTTCATAAATCGAAATTACTTTATGCAAACCAATAATTAGTTGGTATTTGTGATCATGATCTTTTTGTAATTTTCAAGTTTAGCTCATTTCAGTCTTTTATTTCATTCTTTGTCCTTTAAATTCAGATTGTTTAGTGGCTCAGCAAAACAAATGGGAAAGACTTGTCCAAACTTATGTGTTATACATATTGAGGAAAAGCTTTTTTTCTTCGGATTCAGAAACAATGTAGCCATTTATTTCTTGGTATTCTGCTGCTGTGGATAGGTTTACCTATTATTTTGACCTATATTGTGTGACTGTTGTACAAGTGTAGGTCCTGTTGTATTGCACATTTGTCTTTACCAGTAAATGCACATCACAAGGTTAATGTTAGTTTGGCTGAAAGAATTATGCAGTAAAATCATTTATACGGGAAAGTGATGACTTTATTCAATATTTTCTCTTTTGAAACATCTCATTACTAACTTTTAAAATAATTTCATAATCCCTTTTACATGAGCCAATGAAATATTCTGAGTTCTAGTTAAGAAAAAAAGCATGAAGTCTATATGATAAATCTAAACAAAAGCACTTATAATTCTTTTATATATTTCATGCCTTATTTTCCATTTTTGACACCATAAAGTGCATTTTCTGTGAACTGTGAGCAAATTTCCCTTTTGCCTTTAATGAAAATAGTGCATTAAGTAGCCAATTGCTGCAAAATTATAAAGCAAGATAGCTAAAGGTGGGTCACATTGGACTACTACTCAAAGAATCAAGATGCATAAAAGATGGAAGTTACATGCAATGTGGCTTAGAGCGCACTTGTGCCAGATGCATGCCACTTTCAGTAGCTGCCAAATGTGCCTTTAATTAAGAACATCTCTAATTTTTGTCTTCAGATCAAGTCAGCATTTGGGGGTGGGATTAGGGCAGGGGACTTTGGGGTGCAAATATCTGGTGAAATCACCAGAGAATTTGTTTGTCAAAGTGACATGTATAATTTTAGTTGAGATGTGTCTGTGTATATATGTGTATTTGCCTTTGTTTAGTAGCACAGTTATTTGCTAAAATAATTGTCAAAAAATCCTGTCAGTCTTACTTTGATGTAAGAACAAAGTGTGGTCTATACATCTAATATGGCCTTTGTACTAAACCATGTTCGTAGGTAATCTTTGTACTCTGTGTGCAGCAGTATTTGGTTTGCGTTTAAAGTGAAAACAATGGCTGTTATTTTTCTGGCATTACTAAGATAAACCGAAACATAATAAAGAAAAATGCCTTACATAGCCCACAAGTGTATTATTTTGCATGTGTTTTAGAATGCAGCATTTTGAAAGTCATTAGTGGTTGACATTTAGCTTATACTTCCCATATAAAAATATTTTGCATTTTATCATGGTCTTACTTTGGGGGCTGTTTTTCCTGTAACTAGAAAAGGATAAAAGAAGTTCCATGTTTCTTTCTGTGTCAAATCCTGTGACTGTTGTGAGTGGGAGGCTGCTGGGATTGAAATTAGTAAAGTGACCGTGAGAGTATCTGGATGAGGTTTTAGAGAGCAGTTATATTATTAAAAGAAGTTTTAGGATACCAAAACTCCCTGACAGGAAGCTTTTGCTGAGACCTGCAGGAATGAGGCAGCTTGACTTCAAAATTCTTTCTAGACTTGGTATGAAAAGAGCTTAAGGTTGTAACTAAAGATATATGCACATAGGTCATTCAAGGTGGACTGGAATGTGAAAATTGAATCCTTAAGAGATTCAATTCCACTTATTTAAAAATAGAGGCAAGTGAGACCTGGAGTACTGACATGATTTGGCTAACATCTTATAGTAGTAGTGATTGAGACCACTGACTCAGTGTTGGTCCCTGGCATTTGAAAGACTGCTTTCAGGAATGCCTAAAATGAATTGGTAGGGTTTTTTTTCCCTAGTTACCTGTTTTCCTGGGATTTTTTTCCTCTGGTTTAATTAAAAATTACTAATTTATATACATTATTTTGGTTGACCACTATGAAATCCAAGCATGTATTAATGGAGTATATCTAGATAATCAATTTACTAGCCATAGGCAAATGTTAACATTATCCTAAACTAAATTCTGAATTTGCTCTTGAACTGTTACTTTTCATCTTCAACCAAGTAATTTGCTTTTTTTTGGGGAGAGGTTTTTTTTTTTTGTCTTCTTTTTTGGTGCTGGGATCGAACCCCGGGCCTCACGCATGCTAGGCAAGCGCTGTACCACCGAGCTACATCCCAGCCCAGTAATTTGCTTTTTTACTTATTTTAAACATGTCAGGTCATCACAAATGTGAGGGTGCTTAAGTCTCAAGAGCAGGAATAGGGACCTAGCCCCATAGCTGAACCTGCCTTTTTGCAGATTTGGTAGACTACAATTCCACAAATGCAGTTTGTCACCATTTTAACATTTTAGGACTTCTGATACTTATTAGAGGCAAGGAAAACTACAGTCTATTTAGTAGGTAATTTCTCCACCTTAACTCACCAAGAAAGGCAAGAATCAATGTGATAGAGGAAGGTGCTTTGGAATCACCTATTTATATTCTGTTTCCACTACTTCCTACATGAGTGACTTTGGAGATGTTATTGAATGACTATTTTTCATCAGTACTCCAAAGGGTGACATATCTATCCAGGATTCCTATGAAGTTTAAAGGTAGCATATGTAAAGCACAATGCCTTTCATAGAGTACATGCTTAACAAATGATAAAGTTATGAAGCATACGTTTTCAAAGTTTTCCTGCTTTTAGGAAACTGAAGAGGTTGGTTGTTTATCCTGAAGTTCCCATGATTTTATTCTTCATGGCTCCTTTTGCCATATAAATTGGTTTTGAATGACCTTACATTATAAGCATTTGATAAGGGCCCATCTGAGTATTCAACAGTCAACAAATATTTATTGTTCCGAGCACAGTTCTGCTTTAAAAATACAGCAATGAACATCAGAAGTTGAATGGGTCCAGATTGCTTAAAGCATTAAAAGCCACTGTAATGGTTTGACTTATGCTTGAGAAGAGAGCCCTTAAAGGGTTTGAACTGAGGAATGATGTGATCTGAGTTACAATCTGGCTGCTCTGTTGAGAATAATTAGAGATTAAGAACTGGAATCGGGAGGCCAGCCCAATAGAAAGTGCCCTGGACCAGGGTAATGACAGTGGAGGTGGTGAGAAGAGGTCAGAGTAGGGATATATTTGAAAGACAGCCAATTTGCTGATGGACTGAATAAGGTTACCATTTACTGAAGTAGGGTGGATAGAGTTGAAGAAGGCTTTAGATATGAGTTGGAATGTTCAATAACTTGATCAAACATCTTAAGTCATTGAGACAGTTGGAGATATTAGTCTGGAGTTGAATGAAATTGAGACCAAAGATATAAAATTGGCAGTCACTTTTCAGAAATTTTTTTGTGTTTCTGGGGATTGAACCCAGGGCCTTGTGCATGTTTCACATACATTCTATCACTGAGCTACATCCCCAACCCATATCATATTTTAAAGCTACTGAGCTACATCCCCAGCCCATAAAGATCATATTTTTAAGTTAACAAACTACATGAGATCACAAAGCAAGTGAGCATGGACTGGAAAAAGAAAAGGCAAAGGAAGGCCCTGAACACCTCTAACATCAAAGGAGTTGGGGAAAGAGGAAGCAACAAATAGACCAAGATGGAAGTGCCAGAAGGATGAAAACTATGTTGTATCATTAAGACCTAATAAAAAATTTATTTCAGAAGAGGGAATGATCAAATGCTACTTGATAGGGTAAGATGACAAAGAATGGACTGTGTGTTTAAAATTGTGGAAGACATTAATGATCTTGACCCAAGGGATATGGACAATACCCTGGGCCTACTGAGTTTAATATAGAATATAGCAGGAAAGGAACAAAAATGGTTTCCTCTTACAAGTTTTACAATGAAGGGAAACAAAGAATTGGGGCAAAAGAGAATTTCTTTTGCCTTAATGATGGGAGAAATAAGAGCATGTTTAAATGCTGAAGGATTTGCCCAAATAGAAAGGAAAATGTGATCATGAGGAGAGGAAATGGTAACTATAGTGTTAGGATGAAATAGCCCACTCAGGAGCACTGATGGTATCTACCAGTTCCTTTACAGTGAATCCCATTGTCTTCAGATGAATAGGTTTAAATGCATATGAAAGAAACATAACACATTTGGCTTTCCTGCTGAGAATTAAGAGCATTTAATGTTACTGTGCCTGAAGGGAATAACGTGAGATGATAAAAACATCTATTTTAGGGTTGTGAGTGTGGCTCAAGTGTTAGACTGCCTGCTCAGCAAGCACAAGGCCCCAAGTTCAAACTCCAGTACTGCCAAAAAAAAAAAAAAGCCATTTTATGGGTAAGGGACAAACTTAAATGACTTAAAAGATTACACATTAAGCTCTTGTGGAAACAAAAACAAGATTCGTTTTAGGAACAGAAAATCTTGACTATTTTGGAGGTACTGTAAATTGAACTCAGACAAGAACTCTACCACTTAAGCGATGCCCTCAGCCTGTTTTGCTTTAGTTATTTTTTAGTTAGGGTCTCATGCTTTTTGCCCATGATGGCCTTGAATTTTGATGCTCCTACCTATGCCTTTCCAGTTGTTGGGATTACAGATGTGAGTCATCATACCCAGACTTCACTGTGTTCTTACATGTTCAAAACACAAGTGTCACAATTTTACTTTTTGCTTAAAATTTAAAAGTCTCCACATGTGTTCTCTCAATCCTATCTTAACTCATGTCCCTTTTTGAAAAACCATACCTCACCCTTCCTTTCTCCCAACTCCTTCCCACTACATGAGACTCTCTGGCCCGTATACAATAAATACTAGGATGTTTAGTGACCAAGAGTACTGCACTTACATCTTTAACCCATCCTTTAGGATATGATAATCACAACTGTACTGAAAGCACTGCTGTTCTTGGCTCAGGAAGAAAGTTACTAATGGTAATTTTTTTTTAAAAGTTTAGTATGAACACTAGATTTAATGTAAGACATTTATTAATTTTTAAGTATATAATTGATTCTCTGGGCTATGCAATCAATTTTACCAGTATATAAAAGGTACTCATGTGTATATGTACATTTTTAATCAAACTCACTGTATATGATAGTAAAGGTCACAGATAATGAGAATGCAAAAATGTTCACTTGGGTTTCAATGAACTATTAGTTTTCTGTTATCTCAAGATAAGTCTAATCAATTCTCTATTCTGTCCTAAAATTCAGTTTATGAAAAGAATCTGCTGAAATTTGCATACTAGATCATCCAGTTCATTGATCCAAGAGGGAGTGGCTCTAAAATTTCAACAGACCAAAGAAAATCACTTGTGTGCACTTAAATGCAGATTCCTGGACCCTATCCCCAAGTATTCCAATACTCTGGGGCTGAAACAGTGCCCAGGAATCTGCATTTTTACAAGTGCCCTCATGGAGAAAGTGATATGAGTCTTGAGGAGGTGAGGGGGCAAGATATGAGGTGTTATAAAAACATCATTCAAAGGGTTTCCCTGACAATCCAGTATCAAGTCTCAGATTAGCTTAAACCATCTGTTATAATATAAAATAGCCCACTGGAAGAACCCTAGAGTTGTGGTCCACAAATCCCTGCTTCTCAAAGGTTCCAATTCTGAAGTCAGAGAAGTAAGACAGTTCTTGCTTGGGCTTATATGCAAGGCTGCAGAAGAGACCTGTTGCAAACTCCTTGCCTATGCAGAAATCCCCATCTTTTGGTGGAATGCTTCTTTCTGTTATCAGCTCAAATATTACTTGAAGACATCTGTGGTCTACTGTATAACTGTACTTCCAAGAGGACTGGAGATAACAGATGTGGTGATTATCAAACTCTTTCCCACCCTAATGCCAACATTACATTAAATATCATTACTATAACTAAGGATCTTGTTTCCCCTGCCAATTCATGGTACACCTAGAAAGGTTATAAAATGAGCCTGGACAATGAAAAGACAGCAACTGTGTTCTTTGTAATTGGAGAAGTTTTCTAGTGCTAGGTGTTGTGAAAGTGGCTGAGGTACCTGAACTGCTTTCTGAAGACAACTGTATTTTATTTCCTCGGTGATTGATAATTTTCTTTAAAAAGGTAAAAAGGCTAAAAGTAAAGTGAGAAGCCTAAAACTCTTTGTCAAGAGTACCAACTACTTTCTGTAGCCCAGTAAATATTATAGCACCATCATTAAGTTTGGCATCAACCATTTATTAAGCACTTACTATGTACTCTTCTAAAGGTGGAAGGGAATAAAAAAAGATGACATAGTTCCTGTTCTTGAAGGGTTGTACAGTCTTATTGGGAAGATAAGCAAATGAATCAAAAGATAAACTAGTCACAATCATAAGAGATCACAAAAAGATGAAAAGGCTTAAACTGGATCTTTAAGATCAGCAGACAGGAAGAAGCTAGAGTAAAGGCCTGAAGCAAGAGTGAGCCTAGGCAAGGTGCATGGTTTACTGGGAAACAGTAAGTCCAGTTTAACTGAGGTAAATTAGTTCACCCAGACCTGCAAAGTGTGAGGTGGTAGTCAGAAAGAAAACTAGGAGCCATATTGGAGAGAGAAAGCCTGAAATGTCAGGTCCAAGAGCTTGGAATTTCATAGTAGAAAAAAACAGCCGAAGAGTTTCACATAAAGCTGGGGATATTAATGTGTTAGACACATGTAGGGTGGATAGGGGCAAGTAGTGCTGAAGGCAGTTAGAAAGCTACCAAAACTCCAATTATCAGGAGACATGCTATCAAAATGAAATTTGCAAGGAGTGTGATTTTTTTTTAAACCTGCCCAGTTACTGAACATTTTGATGATAAACAGGATATGAAACAGAAAGGAATCATATTGGTGTTTACATTTTGATTTAAGAGGTTGTGACTTCTATTTCACTTTCCATGTCCA